GGTTTAGGGTTTAGGGTTTAGGGGTAAGTAGGGTTAACAAGGTGGGTTATGGGGATTCCAAACGGGTTTCTAAGAGATACTAAGTAGACGTACTAATAAGTCGAACGAGCTTCCAAGCAGGGGCCTTAATAATTAGAATACTTTTTTGGGAGGGGGCTTATTACAGTACATAATGTTTATATAGGGGCCACAAAGGAATAATGCTAGCTAAATATTCCGACCCCTAAGTTAAGGGCTTCGTGCTTAGGATTCTTAAGTGTATCCTCGGTATAACTTTCGACGAATTTCCGGTGCTGCACAGCCGCGCGCCATGGGACTGCACTGCAAGGGGAACTCTAGGCAAGCACCTGGGTTTTGGGAGGGGGTTCGGCTTCTTGCTGCTGCTTAATGAGAGTTCGTATGCAGGACTTTATAGAGTTTATGGTTTTTCGACTTTAGTTGCCGAGGTTTCTTCACAAGAGCTGATACCTGACCCCCCACCCCCCCCCGCATCCGAAACAGCGAAACCCGAAGTTCACCTTTGCCTTTAAAGCACGTCCGTCCTACGTCTTCATGTGGGGGTTCAGCTAGATTGTGGGCCCCTGTTTGGGGGTACCATGAACAGAAGGCATCAGAAGGCCACCCTGATGTACTCGGAAGCCACGAAAAGGATCCTAAGTTATGGCTCAGGGATGCTTGGGGCTGAGGTTTAGGGGTTTGGAGCTATTCTCATGGCTTCGAGCCCCAACATCGAAATTAGGGAGAATGAGTTTAGGGTCGAGGGCTTGCAGCTTTGGATGACGGTTTAGGGTTTAGGGTTTAGGGTTTAGGGTTTAGGGTTTAGGGTTTAGGGTTTAGGGTTTGGGGTTTAGGGTTTAGGGTTCAGGGTTTTAGGTTTTGGGTTTTGGGTTTTAGGTTTTAAGTTTTAGGCTTTAGGTTTCAGGTTTTAGGTTTTGGGTTTTGGGTTTTGGGTTTTGGGTTTTGGGTTTGGTTAGGAGTTTGGGTTTGGTTAGGAGTTCCCCCCAGACGGATAGTTCTCTGATCCTTGCTATGGTGCAGTTGACATCGAAATGGGGCTTTGAGCAAATTCCGAACCATTTTGGTAGCCTCTGAACCCCTAAACCCTACAACCCTAAACGCCTAAATCCTGAACCCCCGAAACCGAGATCCAGCCTTTCCGGAAGTCTCCAACTGCCACGCCGACAGCCCAAAGTCGCTGTCCGCCACGGAAGATCTCAATTCAGCGCATCACGGTTTGGGATTCAGGGTTTTTCGATTGAATCTAGCCTGCGATATTTGAGGATTTTGGGTGAGAGTTTCGTGGGCAGCAGGTTTAACCCCTAGTTTCAACCCCAAACCTGAAGGCGCTAAACCGAAACATTGACGTGTCGAGGTCTGGGGGCTTGGCAGCACGGCTTGGACTTGTCGGGATCGAAGGGTTCAGGGCTGAGGATTCGCAGGACTGGGGCGTATGGTGTTGGGCTATAACCCCATCCCCAGTTTGATGGCTTTAAGGATAAGGGCTTGGAAACCTGGAGCAACCAAAGAACCCTTTGCACCAGGCCTAGGTGAGGATCCCTCGCCGTCGCAGAGCGTGACCTTGGAAACTAATGAGCTTTAGCCATCCGACCAAGGTTGAAAGCCCAGCTACAGCTCGCTGTTCAAAGCTTTAAGAGTTTTCGCGGCGACTTCGCAGACACGACTAGTTTTTTCAGCACTGGCAGGCAAAATATGCGCAACATTTATTTTAAGGGAAATTTGGCAGCTGACTTTTTTGCCAGGGCCCTGAATATGCAACTGGGCTCAGTTAGAATATTTCGTGCACACATGGAATATTTTGGGGTGTGGTTTTTTGCTGGATAGTTTGGTTAGCAAGATCACAACGCAATCAAGGTCGCCAGCGACCGACGACCGCCTGGAAAACCCAGACCGAGAGCCAGCCCAAAGCTCGAAACGGCAGGGCGTCGGACAGTTCGAAGGGCAGGTTCAGTTGGTTTAGGGGGACAAAGGCGGGGGCAAGCACGGACACACCTAAGGAACCAAGAACGGCCAATGGCAAGACTCGGGCCTTCTCCCTCTCTCCCTCTCTCCCTCTCTCCCTCTCTCCCTCTCTCCCTCTCTCCCTCTCTCCCTCTCTCCTTCTCTCCTTCTCTCCTTCCATCCTTCTCTCCTTCGCTCGCCCTCTCCCCTCTCTCCCTCTCTCCCTCGTCTTCCCTCTCTCCCTCTCTCCCTCTCTCCTCTCCCCCTCTCGCCCTCTCTTCCCTCTCTCCCTCTCTCCCTCTCTCCCTCTCTCCCTCTCTCTCCCTCTCTCCCTCTCTCCCTCTCTCCCCCTGCCAGATTATCCTGCGCGAGCCCACAACATGTCCGCTTTCGGATCCTTGACATCTTTGTCAGTGTCGTCGTCGAAGCTTGCAGTCCGCGCCGCCCAAGTGGTGGCTCAAGGCCTGCTTGCTGCCGACGCGGCGACTGCACCGGGGCACACCTGAAGGTCCACGGACTGCGTTGCATTTGTTGGCATATCTTCAGGGGTCGTCCCCTTGTGCTGAGCTCTGTGCCACACCCCTGTAGCGAGGTATCTCCCCGCCAGCGCCCTGTTCAAGGCGAAAAGTGAGCTGCAAAAACACGTCCTAACAAAGTTGCTTGTCTCCGAGCAAAGTCACGCGGCCTTGCGCGCACGGGGCACAAACCACGGTGGACGTAACTCAAGGCCGAAACCTTTGCCAAACCAACGCCAAATGCTCGGCCTTCACCCAGAACATAGTAACTGCCACCAGTTGGACTGCATGAAAAATGCATGTCGGGCTCATGCTTGCAGTGCAGGTGCAGCGCCAAAGCTTGCGGGCTACCGCAAACTTTGGGGCAGTGCTGACACGCCTGTCATTGGGGCAAGTCACGACTTGCAATTGTGCCGTACAGCACTGGCCTGCGCTGCGTACCTGGAATTGCCCGGCCTAGCTACAAAAGCTCAAGCTTACGAACGCACGCGACTGCCAGCCGACTGCCCTTCCTTTTTGCCACCGGACTTCCTGGAAAGTGCACTACAGGCTGCAAGTTCCAATGCTCCCTCTCTGTGACCTCTCTCCCAAAAGCCTGCGTTCTCCACGTCCATCTCCCATCTCCCGTAACGTCTTCTGTCTTTCAGGGGGTTGAGCAGGGGCTCTCCCTCCTCTCCCTCCTCTCCCTCCTCTCCCTCCTCTCCCTCCTCTCCCTCCTCTCCCTCCTCTCCCTCCTCTCCCTCCTCTCCCTCCTCTCCCTCCTCTCCCTCCTCTCCCTCCTCTCCCTCCTCTCCCTCCTCTCCCTCCTCTCCCTTCTCCCTCCTCTCCCTCCTCTCCCTCCTCTCCCTCCTCTCCCTCCTCTCCCTCCTCTCCCTCCTCTCCCTCCTCTCCCTCCTCTCCCTCCTCTCCCTCCTCTCCCTCCTCTCCCTCCTCTCCCTCCTCTCCCTCCTCTCCCTCCTCTCCCTCCTCTCCCTCCTCTCCCTCCTCTCCCTCCTCTCCCTCCTCTCCCTCCTCTCCCTCCTCTCCCTCCTCTCCCTCCTCTCCCTCCTCTCCCTCCTCTCCCTCCTCTCCCTCCTCTCCCTCCTCTCCCTCCTCTCCCTCCTCTCCCTCCTCGCCCTCCTCTCCCTCCTCTCCCTCCTCTCCCTCCTCTCCCTCCTCTCCCTCCTCTCCCTCCTCTCCCTCCTCTCCCTCCTCTCCCTCCTCTCCCTCCTCTCCATCAACAGAGGTGACAGACAAGGCGGTTCTACTGTGTTGAGCCCTTCTTTCGCCTGCGCAGCCCCCTTGTCGCAGTGGTGAGAATTCTCAACTTCAACCAGAAGTTCGGTAGTGAAGAAGGTGCCTTGCCCCAGTCCAAGCCAAGGATTGTCAGAAGAAGAAGAGCCGCGACAGCTAACAAAGAAAACGTTGTGCACAACTGCGTATTGTAAGCGCCTGCATCAGCATCCGCCCTTTGCTGGCAACAGCATGAGTTTCACTGTTAGCCCAAAAAATTGTGTACGTAGCAGTGGAAGAGAAGTTTTTTTGGGCTAGTAACATTTTTTTCGCACACCAGGAGGTTTTGCCTACAAGGGCAACTCCTTTGCACGAGATGCCTTGAGGCTTCCAGTACCTTCCAGAGCTCTGGGGCTTCGCTTCCCGAGCCCGGCGAAATCAATAAAGGCCACATCGCGCGCTTTGCACCTCCGATGTTTTTTTCGTTGTTGCCTTCTTTCACTTTGCACATTAAGTGTGAGGACACACGACGTATTGCTTCCACACGGCATGCAGAAGAGGCCCCAGCATGGTCCCCCATAATTACCATAGTTTCGCAGTCAGCCGTCAGCTTGATCAGTGCAACAGAACACCATTCGAACCACCGCTTGAAATGCCGTTGTTGGGTGTGTAAAAAGGAGATCAATTCTAAAGTCCTCGGGGCAACTTAGATGCAAAAACAGCACTCCGCAGCGTTTCGCCGAATCTGCCGCCGAATCTTCCGAGCATGCCATGGGCAAGGGTCGGGGCAAAGGCCGGGGGAAGGGCCGTGGCAAGGCGCGGGGCAAAGGCAAAAGCAAGGGCCGCGGAAAGAAGAAGGACAATCCCCACAAGTGCCTTGCTGCAACAGTGCGAGGGCAGCGTTTCTGCAGATGGAGATGTTGCTGTACTTCATCACCATGTGCACAGCTTGAGCGCTGTCTGAGGCGTGCACGGAGCACTAAGAAGCGCGACAAGGAGCTGAAACGGGCCCATGCTGGTCCTCTGCTGCAACAAGTCTGTTATGGTAATTGAAGATTTGCCCAATCTGCAATTCTGGCTCATGTATCTAGGACTCCGTGTGGGTTAGCGGGGTTGGCAACTGTGTGTATTCAATAACAGCGCATTGCCGTCACTAGTACTATGACGCTCTGAACTCATCAGGCGCCTCTAGACGCCAGCGGCAACAATTGAGCGATGGCTTCGTCCCGCAGCTCGGACGGTTAATTGCAGGCGATCAGCCCTGGGTCAAGCATAACTCCGCATAACCCAGGTAACCCACGCACCTGAGGCGGGATGAGCAATCAATCTATATCCGCAGCCTGCCCGAGGCGCTAGAATCGAAGTGACCGGGCCGAAACACTCAGGGGAGGTTTGGTTCCATGTTTGAGCAGCAGGCTTGAGTTGCTCGTGTTGGTTCGAAAGCCTTTCAGGAATCATGCCTTACGCAGTAGTAACTGTTGCACTGGTTGCTCATCACATGTCTGGGCATCTCCAATTTGCGGCCATTACGCTTGCTGAGCATTGCAGCAGCCACATCCTGCATGACTGCATGACGGACTGAAGCAAGGCATGAGGTGAAGCAGGCGCTCCAGACCAAGTTTGGTGAAGCACCTTTGGCATACCCTGGCTTTGTTGCGCAAAGGTCGTCGACATGTTTTGCCAGGCTTTTGTTTGCTGGCCTTGCCTTTGAATGTAAACTCTTCGAACTTTTGTTTTAGGGATGGATCAGGTCGGGAGTGTCAAAGCAAGGTAACGCACGTACACCTACATCACCGCTTGAAATTTGGCTTTGCTCGCTTCAAGACACGCGAAGGCGGGGTGTCCACCAGCTACTTGGTCAGAGCTGGGGTTCATGGCTTGAAAGGCGCAGATGCAGCGATCCAAGCCGGCAAAGTTCACGTCTTGGACCAGGAGGTTGAGATTTGCTCTGCCTGCGAGGCTGGAAATCCAGGAATGCGAAGCTTCGGAGCCACACTGTGGCTTTTGTAGCTGCACTTCGGTGAAGCCTCTTGTTGCATTTTCGTGGCCTAGACCAGGCAGGGAAAGGTTGGCCAGAGAAACAACCGCTGACCGAAGATGAGAGAGACGACAGTGAGGCCGAACCAGGTTTTTGTCCTTTGTTCGGCCGCTGCCAAGACTTCAAGACTATGCGAAGGTTTACACAAGAGGAGGATGGAATCAGCTGCCTGATGTTGACATGTTGCATCAGGATGATGGAAGCCAAGCGGCAAGCGATGCCGCTGAGAATCCAGCAAAGAGCCAGCCGGAGGACATACCTCGGATGTTGCTAAGAACACCCGAACCTTTACACTTTCTTAAGCCAACAAAAAAGAACAACGCCAGCACGTGCCCCAAAAGCCTCTCCAAACAAGCCGAGCGTGCGAGGCGGGTTTGCGACAAGTCCAAGTACACTGCCTGCAGCTTGCTCTACTACTATGTAGTAGTCAGTAAAAAGTATGTAGTGCTATAGCTCGGCCCTCGCAATGCTGCAAGGAGTTTCGCAATTATTCAGAGCTGCTCCTTAAGTCCGCTGCTTTGCCGACTGCGAACACATGAGCCTTGAACCCTGGAGCTCATCCGGTGGTGGCTTTATGCTGCGATACTGATTAGAGCAACGCTTGTTAGCAAAGATGATCAGGCTGTGAGCGTTTTGGCTTTACTCTGTGAAGTTTTAGAATCCTGACGCAGCACCCAAAACCAAAGAAAAGGCCAACCAATAGGATCTCCCCCTAAGCCTTTGAGCATGACTGAGCTCTGAGAGGATCGGCCACCGGACCAGCGAGGCTGGGAATCGGACTCGGAGGTGCCGTGGGACCGGCTGAGATGGGCTGAAGGGTTGGGGCGGACATGTTGGGGCATGTTGGGGAAACTGTCGAGGGAAGCAATGTGAAGCATTTGCAAGCTTCTGGCCCATCTTGCAGAAGCCCAGGTTGTGGCATCGTTTTGATGTTTTCGCGTGTCAAAAGTGCTGGCAGTTACAGGGATCGGGCGTGTCAGAGTGGCGATCCTGTGCGATCCTCCTACTTGTTGCCTTTTTGGCCTGTTTTTCCTCACGTCGCGCCCTTGCGTTGTCGAGTCGTGTCGTGTCTTCTGTCACGTGATGTCATGACCCCGTCAAGTCCAGCAAGTTGCAGGCTCCTTCCTGTATGGCGGCTGCCCTGCCCATGTGACATAATTGTGCGACTGTGTGTGTGTGTGCGTAAAGGCATCAATGGCCGAGGCGGAGTCTTGGGCGCATGAGGACGCCGATCCTAAGGTAGGCCAATTCAACGACACATCACGACTGTTGTTTCACTGTTCGGGCATGCTCGGATTGGGCTGGTCGACAGGCAGGCTGTGGCTGTAGACTGTTGTAGATGGCCATGCCCCATGAGGACGTGCCAGAAAGTGAAGCCGAAGTGCGGGCCGCAGGGTGTCACTGTTGTCACAGCGTAGGTGTTGCAAAGTGTTGCCATGGGATGCGAGCTCCTCCTTGCAAGTCCGGGCCTGGGCGGTTGGGCATCCACTTCAGGACGATGACTTCGCAGAAAGGGAGCGAGTACTGGGCACGCTCGAGGCCACTTTGAGCCGATGGTGCCTATCAACCTCGTAAACGCAAAGGAGCATGTGTCAGATATCGCTTCATGGGTCTTCATGGCACTGAGAGCCACGAGTGGTGCTTGCAGGCCATCCGTGCGTCAACCACAGAGGCCACGTGATTGCAGCATAAGAAGAGGGGGCTATGTCAGCCCTAGGGCCTATAGGCCGAGACTTCATTCAGGTGCTCCGCAAAGCCAACAGCAAGATAGCCATGTCTGAGCTGGAATCTCGCTCGGACATTGCTCAGCTGAAGGAGGCCGCTGCCAAGCTTTAAGTTCACTCCGAAGCCACAAAGAACCCATTTTTTACACACTCATCAGGAGCTGCCAGGGAAGAGCTCCCTGGTGCAAATCCTTCGCTCGCTTGGGAGCAGCTCCTAGGCTCCAAGAGTACGAGAGCCCCTTGGGGGCTTGATCATAGTATCAATAATATGAATCATGCAAATAAAAAAGCACAATATAAGCAGTATCAATAAACATATTCATTTGAGTCATATTAACAACATTCAGAATATTAAGATGATCAATAAGATTCATCATATATGCGGAGATATCCGGAGTATTCGTGACATTAATACTAGAACTCATATTGCCTTTGTGCTACAAAAGTCGATGTCGAGCCATTTGGCCAAGCCAGAGTTCCACGTTTCGCGAACACGTCCAAAAGCGACGACAGTCACGAGGATGGCGATGTAGCATCATATAACTTGAGATGTTTCAAAGCCCCGAGAAATCCGTGCCCGCCCCCCCCCCCCCAGCTGTGGAAAAAGGTACGATTGTCGTCCAAAATCTCGACCAGCGCTCGAGGAATAATGGCCACGCATCGCGCGCACACCGTTTGGCACTTTGGTTGGGGAATAAAGGCCACCCTTTTTCGCTGTGACTTGTGCCTCATGTGCTGAGGTTTCAAAGTGAAAGACAGAGGCGACGGTGTCTTCATGGTGACGCTAACCAAGGTGGACGGGCCCTCAGGATCCTCGGCCTCAGGGGCCAGCCCTCAACAGACTCAGCAGGGCCTCAAGGGGCGTCAGTGAGGCCTCAGCCCTGAGAGGCTTCAGAAGCTGTTTTCCGGAAGTGAAGCTTCTTTCAATCATATCCATCCGAGGCATCACCCTTGTGCGTCTCCTGCATGCATGGTTGTGCGATGTCCGGATGCACCTTTTGTCTGCGAAGCGGCGAAGTCTTCCCACACAATTCAGCTGCTCCCAGCGCATATCCAGTCCTTCTGCTTGACGTGACAACACGTTGATAATTCTGGGTGTTTTCGGAATTTTGGACGTTGCTTCTGACCTGGACAAGCTGCGAAAATTTGGGGACAACATGCCCAGGCGAAGAAACCCCTTCCAGCCAAGGCCTGTCCAGGGAGTCAATTGGCAAAGGTGAGAGATGCCAAAGCTTCCGTGCTTGCAGGTGGCAGATGCTTTCCTTGTGCCGAGTGGAAGAGCGAGAGGCCCAGGGAGGTGCAGTCCGGTGCAGTGTGCAGCGCCTGACAACTGTCTCCCCGAGCCATCCCGTGCCACGTTCTTGTTGAAACAAGGCCCCGGCACCAAAATCCAGCCGTGCCAAGAAGTCTGCGCGGACCTTGCCGTAAAGCCAATAGGACCTCATGTTTCAATGGGTTCCTCAAGCACGTGGCCATGACATCTGTGAGACATGCCGAGTCTGCTCGCGAACTTCACGGTCATGTCATTTGCAGCGGGGCAGTGTTGCAATGTAGTATTCCAAGGCGAAGGGAGGCAAAGGACGCAAAGGGTGCAATAAAGAAGCCGGCAAAGGCTCCGGCAAGGCAAAGGGCAGAAAAGACAAGGGCAATAGTGGCAAAGGAGACGTTGCAGGCACGACAAAGGCGTCGCATGACCTGCTTTACATCCTTGGAAACTATGTCTGGAGAAGGTCGAAAGCAGAAGCGAAAGCCAATTGTCGTCACCTCCAAGAAGAAGAAGAAGTTCCGAGCGGCGTCTTCAGGATCTCAGGCCGACCTTGTTCAGCGTATGGGCTTCGGTCGGGCAGGTGTGGTTTCTTCATGATTGCAGCTTGAATGCACCGCAGGGCGGTTTAGCCGTGGAGCATTCGAGACCAGAAGTCTGCCAGACACGGAGCTGCCCAATCTGCAGGATGGTGATGGATCTCCCTCTCCACCCAGTTCACCTGGCAGGTTGGACGATCAAGCGTGTTGAGTCATGCGGATTCAGTGCCCAGTGCTGCAGTCTAAGCTTCTACCGCTGCATTACGGAGCCATGCGCAGTGCAGGAAGTTGTCATCGCCTCCGCCGCTTTCGTATACCTACGACCCACCCGCGCTACCGCCACCTCCACCACCCGCACCTGTGCCGCCGCCCCCGCCAAAGGCTCCCTTGCCACCACCACCACCACCAAGCAGGTCCGTCTCCTCGCCTTCCGCGGAAACACCGCCCACACTATCCCCGCCCCCAGTGCCTCCACTGCCCAGACGGCTCACACAGCACGAAGCGGGCTTGGAAGCCCAAGGCTCAGCCCAAGGCCCAGCCCAAGGCCCAGCCCAAGGCCCAGCCCAAGGCCCAGCCGAAGGCCCAGCCCAGTGCCCAGCCGGGGGAGCAGCCCAGATCCCAGCCCAAGGCCCAGCCCAAGGCCCACAGATGCTATCCGATGGCTCCACAGCGCAGCATCCACCACTAGTGCCAGCAATACGTGCGGTACCTGCAGCCGCAACAGTACCACCACGCGCAATGTTTCCACCGCAGTCCGCAGCACCTGTCTGCACACAGCCTGCAGCTCTACCACCGGCAGGAAACCTGCCACCCACAGCAAACATGCCGCCACCCGCAGCAAACATGCCACCCGCACCCAGCATGCCACCCGCAGGAAACCTGCCACCCGCACCAAGTATGCCACCAGCAGGAAACCTGCCACCTGCAGCAAATATGCCACCCCCACCAAGTTTGCCACCCGCAGGAAACATGACACCTGGAGGAAACTTACCGCCCGCAGCAAACATGCCACCACAAAGTATGACACCCACAGGACACATGCCGCCCACAGGAAACCTGCCACCTGCAGCAAGCATGCCACCTGCAGCAAACGTGCCGCCAGGAAACATGCCACCTGCAGGAAACTTGCCACCCTCGCCAAGTATGCCACCGGCAGGATACGTGCCACCCGCAGGAAACCAGCCATGCGCAGCAAACATGCCCCCTGCAGCATCTGCAGCAAACATGACCATGCCACCTGCTACGCCCCTTCGCCCGGTTCCAGTTCCGCCACTGCCTCCACCGCCACCACATGCCAGATTTCCGTCACCTTGCGCTCGTCCACCCGCAATATCTCAGCCAGCAGCAAACCCTGCAACAGCCCCAGCAACATCCCCGGCACAGCTGTTGAGCTCGGTCCCGTCGCCTCCGGCAGTGCTTGCTCCTCGCGCATCACTCCCGCCGCGTGCGACTGGTGCACCATGCGCACATCAACAGGCCACTCCTTCAGTTCTTCCTCCTCCATCAACTCTTCTTCCCCCCCCTCCTCCTCCAGCAATGCTGGGAGCGCCATCCCAGCCGCCACCTGTGCCAGCTCATCCACCGCAAGCAGCGCCTCCACAGCTAGCAGCTCCGCTGCATGCCTTGCCCGCTCTTCCCCCACCTCCCGCTCCCGCAGGACCTGGGCCCCTCGCCACACCGCTGCCAGCACCGCTGCCGGCAGCGCAACCGGCAGCGCCGGCACCGCTACCGGCACCGCTACCGGCAGCGCTACCGGCAGCGCTACCAGCACCGCCACCTCCACCACCCTCGCCACGGCCAAGCTCAGAGCCGTTAGCCGAAGGACCCTGCTTGCTGGAAGAGATGGGGTGGGGCGTCGCGTAAAGCTGTCTTGCAACAGTCAGGGGTGAGAAAGGTGTCTGACAATTTGAGAAGGGCATACAGTAGGGTCGGCTGAGATGCTTGGAGTACGGGTGGTAGGAGTCCGGTTGAAATCTTTGATTTCTCCTTCCTTTTTCAGGCGCGGCCCCGAAGCGAAAGCCACCACCGCGGCCGTCTTTGGCCCCCCACCTCCGGCAAAGTGAAGAGCCGAGGGTGGCTTGGAGCATTGGGTGGGGGAAGGGGCGACACATCACGGAGCGTGTTCTGTCAGTCTTGCCGCATTCAGCCCCAGTCCATCAGTCTATCCCTATAGGTTCTAGATCTTGAAAATCTGTTCAGCACAAGCCAGGCAATGGGCCGGTAGCATCCGCACCTTCGCGAACATCCAGGAGTGATGCGGAGGGGCTTGGAACCTCGGGAAGCATGAACATGCATGAACATACGTGAACATACATGAACACTTTGCCGCAGAGCATGCACAGCATGCACACTCAGGTGCGCTTGCAGCTGAGCACGTAATCAAATGTTCAGGACACGCTTTGACCAAGGACATGATCAAACTCCTCAGCGCGCCCAGGCCGAGCAAACAATAATTTTCAGGTTATCTTGTACTAGTAGGGTAAGAGAGGGAAGAAACATGCACGCGGAGACTGTAGTGTGGACACTCGTGGACGTAACCGGGCGTGGCTCAACAGTAGCTGCACCAAGAACCACAGGGGTTGGGTGGATCCCAGCATGTGCCAACCGTCTTTGATGCAGTGCGTTTGCGTGCGAGCCTTTGCAACTGGCAACTCTGATCCACAGTTGCCTAGAGTCGCCTCAAGCATGACTGGATCCCCAAGGACAAAACTGCCGGTATTTGAGTTTGCGTGTTGGGGTTTTCGGGTTGAAGCATGACTGGGAAATATTGGGAAGGTACAAATGATTGAGGATGATTGATGCATGGAGCCCATGCATTGTCCATTCTCCCTCTGAGTGTGGTGTTCATGGTGTTCCCATCTGCAGCTTATGCCTGGCTATGTCTGGTTGAAGCTTGCTCAATCTGCTGGTCCTGATGGTGTTTTTACGGGCCTGTTCTTGTGATTTGTGATCTGTTTTCAGAATTGGCTGTTGCTCTGGTTGCAGGCATGCGCGCTGCGGCAGTGAGAGATGTAGCACAGCAATTCACAAAGGCGGCGCAGCTCCTCAACCCTTTCTGTGCGCCTTGAGAGAGCGCGCACTGCAGCATTAGTCACCTGCAGCGGCTGGGCGAGCAAGAGCGACTCCGATGAAGGTCACGGATTTGAGCAGCCGCGTGTGAACTGCTGCGGTCCATTGGCGTGAGAAAAATTGATGATATGCCAGACTCCAGCCAGACTCCAGTTTCCATCACTACCTTGCGCTAAAGTCATACTACGACTACGACTACGACTACGACTACGACTACGACTACTACTACTACTGCTACTACTCCTACTACTACTACTACTACTACTACTACTACTACTACTACTACTACTACTAAGCCTTTAGTCATCCTCTCCTCCCCACACTTCATCTTCCTCCTCCTCGCTCCTGCGCTGTCCTCCGCCTCCTTCTCCTCTATCCCCTTTTGCGGAGACTGCAATTGCTTCAGAGCTCCTTGAGCCATCGGCGCACTAGCTGCTCACTATGCTTAGCATGTAATTTCATGTACATACCATGCTTTCCGACACCGAGAGCTCGAAACTCTGGCAAATGGGCGGTCTCGAAGTCAGCGAAGCCCTACGTAAAATACGTAAATGCCATGTAAGTTCTTGGCTATTCAGGCATTATTAGGGTTTCTCGAACATGTCGGGGACCCACCAAAATGTCGAAGCTCTTCCCAAAAGAGCCCAAGAACGCAGAAAAACTTCAGGCCTCATGGCTTCTGCAGTGCTTCTGCCTTAAAGTCGCAGAGATCGGGGTCGGCCCGTAGAGCCAACTTGTTTGGGTAGGGGGGGGCGGGTACGGCGGGTACTAAGCCGGGCAACATAGTGACTAGTTGTGCACCATGGCCGTGGATGCTATCGGGAGACGCGGCATGTGCTTCTCTCCTTGTGTTGCCGAGTGAGTGCAACATACTGAACTTGACCAGCGTTTTTCTTTGCTCGAGATGTGCGCGTCTGCATCGAAGCCCTGCATGCACAAACTTGGCACCCGAAAGGTTCCTGTGAGTACGTCACCTACAGCCTACATGAGAGATCTCCGCAACTGTAGCCAGATGCGGTTTGCCCATTATGAGGTTGGTGAAAACATCGGAGACCCCTGCAACTGAAGGGATGTCTGCCCTCTACTGAAATGATTCAAAAAAAATCCGGCCTCAAACCGGCCTCTGACGCTTTGCTGCTCACAATGTCTGCCAGCGATGGACCAGAAGTATGTCAGAGGGGAAGCCCAGTGTCCGCCTCTCACTTTTTGCAGATCCACCGAGTTCGTGCAGCAATGGCTGAATTGAATATGAAATGCTTTTTGAGGAGGCTTGGATGAGAGTGTTTAGGAGAGTGCACCGACCTGGACTTGTGTGAGAGCGAGGAGTTGCCGGATGCCCACCTGCTGAAGCGCTTTGACGTGGCCGGGTACACAGGGAGAGAAGGAAAAGACCAAGATACCCAGTGGAGCCTTCGCCAGCCTTTTCCGAAGGGATGCATGCATGAAAAGCAGCTTGCCTAGCAGCTTGCCTAGCAGCGTGCTAGCAGCTTGCCTCGCATCCCTATCCTCCGCAAAGGTCCGGCTACTCGGGAAAGGTGCGTATGGCATTGCCGGGGGCTTTGCCAAGCAGCGCCACAGAACTGCCCAGTCAAGAGCTGACATGTTGGCCGTGTGTTTGCGTCGCATATCTCGAGTTGTGGGGAGATTTTGCTGTCCTCCGTGATGCGATGAAAGATGCAGCTCTGGAACAAGACAGCTTGCGTGACGATGCTGCCTCAATAATTTACAAGCACACGCGATTGAAGCGCGTGCGACGCGAAAACTTGCTGTTCAATCACTGGGCGAGTCAAGGCGCTCATCATGTCCTTTCTCGAGTCCAACCCCCCTTATGCCCAGTTTCCTCTCTTGCACCTCAGGTTTTTCCATGGCCTTCCCACCCCCCATCTCACTTTGGCGTGAATCTGAAGGGCTTCGCACTTTTTCTTGTTGGGCTAAGGGTTTGACATTCCTCATCTCCCTTTTAGGCTTTAGGCTTTCGATTTTCAGTCAGGATTCTTCATCTCCTTGTCATGTTGTTGCACCAGACATGCCATTCAAGTATCACCGAAGGAAGCACTACCATCTCCTCTTAGGACACCCGTCTCCTTTGAGGGCCTACAGTAGGGCTTCGGGCTCGTTATGTTCTTTGAGGGTTTGGGCTTCAAGGTTCTTCCACTCTTCTCCTTTCGATTTGGGATATCTTGCTTAGCGGCCGAAGTGCACGAATCCTTGGCGCGCGAATCCTTGGCGCGCGAATCCGCCGTTCAGTGCGCCGACCAAGTTTCTCCAGTGTTTGCAACCGACAATTCTTACCTCAAGGCGCACAGGAAGAGAGAATCCAAACCCTTTTTGGGCTGGAAGATGGGGATGTTCGTTTTGACCGTTCTGATGTGTTTGCGCAGGACATGCTCGGCGCAAATGTGTATAATGTGTATAGCATACAGTACATTAACATACATTAACAACAAGTGTCTACATGAGAGAGTGTGTGTGTGTGTGTGTACATGCCTGTTTTTCTGGGGCTGAGGTCTGGAAGGTGAAAGAGAAAGAGACCGGCAGGCCTTGCCACTGAGCCACTCTACCTTGCTTTGGCAGGGAAACCTGCTGCTCCTGCTCCGCTCCTCCTGCTTTCCTCGCTCTTGCATCATCTCTCCTCTTCCTACCTGCAGTCGCCCACCTTGTTTCATTTTTCTTGCATCCAGTTGATGTGTGATGCTCGTCTTGTTGAAGAGATAAGAGAACTTAACGTAGCGAAGCTTGGCGTCGGATGTCATGTGATGTATCATTAGGCATCCGATCGGCCGTGTTGGGTCCGTAATCCTTGTGCGGCCTTAAGAAGCGCCATCATTTTGGCTGCATTATTCTGTGCCAAGGAGGAGAGAGTGGTCGTAGTCTTTTGCGGATTTTCTGTGCGAGGGCTGCGAGGGTGAGCGTGCGCTCAGGTAGGTGTGGTGTGCTTGAGGCCCCGGCTTCGTGCCAAGTTTCATGTTGGAAATGTCATAATGTCACGAGTGTCGCCCTCTAAACTAATGGTGTTATGGGATGGTGAAAACTTTGTTTATGTGCGCCAAAGATGAGGTCCAGGAAGAAGGTGCTGCAAATGCTTTCTTCCAGTCCACAAGTGTTACGCACGTGCAAACCAATGCATTCGCTTTCCATCTTCTTTTCTTCCTGTTGATGTTACAAGAGAGATCATTAGATAAACGCGCGATGACCCATGCTTACCCGTATCTTTGCTTCCCATTCTAGATGCGATTGCACTCGACTTCTCCAAGTTGAGCACCGGGTTGCTGTACCGCAAATGCCCTGTTTGTTTTCGCTGCTATTCAGGATCTTCGCATTGAAGAAATGTTTCGACGCGTTCCAGAACTCCACGGATGCACAGCGGACCTTCCGCGAAATCATTTTCCTTCAGGCAGGGCATGGCGAAGCGTGTGGAAGTAGGGACACCGAGCGACGTGCCTGGGCACTTCAAAGACTTTGTGGCAATATCATGAAACATGTAAGGGAACATGTAGCAATATCGCCATAATAATCATTTGCTGGGCAAGGAGTTGAATGGCCACGAGAACATCGTCCGGCTGATGAACGTGCAAGCCCAAGCAACAGGCGACGCCATTCCGAACTGAAATACACTGCTGGCTGGACGCACTTCCTTGGGCGGGGGGGGGGGGGGGGGGTGGGGCAGTTGACGGGGTTGCCCATGCCTCCGTTCAGCTGATCTGCCATCATCTCGCATACTGCGCTTGCTGTGGCAGCATTCATGGTGAATGTGTTTCGTCAGACTGTAAAGCTCAGGTGCTCAAGGCAGAGAGCAGCCAGGACACGAGGGTGACACTCTGTGACCGGTGCCTAACTGCATGAAATCCGTGGAGGTTGCGGCAGTTTTTGTATTTGGGGCGAACCTGATATGTCAGGAATTTAAGAGGGCCTTGCCCCCCCCTCCCCCCCGCCCTCCACCCACCTCCCCCGCTTCCTCAGGATCTTCAACTTGTGCTGACATTGACATACGATACTGGCTCGCATTTCTGAGCTGACAATTCCTACTCCATCAGCGTGCAGAGCTTTCTCTTGTGCCGCAGCGTCAAATGTGCAAGAATGTTGTCTGTATTGTGCGTGCCAACCGTAGCTTCACATGTGCAAGAATATTTGTCACGCGATTCTTGAGAGAAGCTGTGATGATTTCTGCTGTTCGTGCCAAGCTGTCCGGACACACGTGGAAACTTGAAGTCGTAGGGACACATGTGCGAGGATATACGTACACAGAGAGCCCACTTGCGGGGACCAAGATTTCGTCCACCCTAGTCTTGAGGGTTCACACCCCTTCCGGCGGGTTCGTTGTTGACGAACGTGATGGGCAAACTTTGTTTTTCATGCATAAGGGTGGCCCATGATCATAGTTTCTCAACATGCTTTGGGGAAAGCAGGACCTCTACGTAATGTTCGACTTCATGGAGCATGCTTCCCGGTTCTGCAAACTTTTGCTGGCGCCATGTTTTGTCGCTGTGGTGCAAAAGCCTGTTGGCACTTGTTGGCATACTCAGAACGGATTGAAGGTCAGATCTGCAGCGGGCCATTGCAGCTAACTTGCAGGAATCTTAGCAAATCTGAGATGTGAACACAGCTGAAATGTGCCTTCGAGTTGAGGTTGCAGCCAATTCATGTTGAGTATGTGACATATCAGATCCTCAAGGCCAGAGGGTGAGGTTGCATCTGCTCATGGTATCTCGTGCTCGCATGTGATCTCTCCGGGTGCATTGCGGTTGCATCGGGCATGCCCTCAGAAGACCCTCTACGCCAGGCTCTGAAATACGTTCATTCAGGGGGAGCGCAAGCCCAATTCTGTGAGCATGGTTTTCTGTAGTCTGTACCGTGAACTGCAGGTAGCAGAGGTTCAGCCAACAGCCCAGCAAAGGTCTTGCACAGAGATCTGAAGCCGGCCAACGTGCTTCTCAACGCGACGGGGCCCCAAGACGTATCCGAGAGAGGGCAGAGAATCCAGAGATGTTTGCTGCTAGGAACTGCACAAGAGGAGCCATGACTTGCAGATCAGGAATTGCCATGTCCGTCTTTGCGATTTTGGCTTGCCTCTTAGCGCATCTGGCAGAAGATCTGACACGGGTTTTGCTTCACGGCGGGTAGGGCTTGCTCACTTAATGGTCAGGCTTGGCCAGAACGGCCTTGCCCGTGGAAGTCCAAGCCACCGGGCACTTTGGTTGCAAATCACTGGGCCGAAGCGGTCGCATTGCTTTGCGCATCCAACGGCTTCAGCACTCACGGCTGACAGTCGGCGAAACTCCGCCGGTGCTGACGAGGCAGTGTGGCATGCTAAGCCAGGTGATACCTTGGAAGCCCGACTGAAGAAAGGAGTCCCCAGTTTCCAGGAACCTTAGCCCAATGCCAGCCTTGGCATATCCTTAGACCTCGAAGCATAAGAGCAAATTTGCGCAGCAATGGAAGCAAGCGCCTGCGAGCTTGTCCGCGGGGAGCTTGACGTTCAGCCCATCATGCTACTTCACGGCTTGGCCGCGGCTGCAGATTGTGAGAGTCGAAAGTCCCCCCGTGATTCTCTCATGGCTTGTCGCCGCAGTCGGTTTCTTGATGGTGACTCCTTTTCGGAGCCTCCCTGCACTTGAAGGCGTTGCCGCTGCTTACGGACTACGTGGCCACACGCGACGGGCTTGGCCAAGATGTGGTGCAATCAGGCAGGTGTCAATGCAAAGCCTCTGCAAGGGTGCTGCTAAATATTGCCAAATCATAGTTGCTTGTTACAACTGATGGAATCAAGGCTGGTATCGAGCACCCGAACTGCTGCTTGGGTCCACGCTCTACTCGGAGGTGCTTGCAGGGTATCTCTATAACTGCACCGCATGCTGCCCAAGTGCAAAAATCAACCTGCAGACTTGATGTCCAATGAAGGGTTGTTGGTACCGCAAGTGACCGCAAGTGTTCCTGGCGAGATGTTGTAGAACTTTTCAAGCTGTAGAACAGAGAAGTTCTGCCCAATCACCCGCCCCGATCCTTTTGTGGGCCAGGGCGGACCGGACTAAGAAGTCGTAGGAACGGTCCGTTCTCGGCAGTGTTAGGCAGTGTGGCCAAGGGCAGATAGCTGATCTCTCCGATGGTCAGGAGACATTGTGTTGAGGATTCTGCCCGGTATGAGGGTCGCAATCCGCAGGGGCCGGTGGGGCCTCTTGTCGGCGTCATGCATCCAAGTGGCCCAGATAAGGAACAAGGGGCAGTAGCAGTAGACTGCAACTGCCCCTGCTCTACCGTGATGGGAACCAGCTGGCTTGGGAGCTGCGCCTGGGATGCTGGCTTGGGAAGGCCCACACTCTAATAAACCCTCAGCCCTTGAGGCAAGCGAGGCAGTCCAGAAGATTTCCCCGCCGCGGTGAGGAAGTGATGTCTAGATGAGCGACGACCCTGCTTCCGACTTCTAACTGTGAGAGAAATCAAGACCACAGAGCAGTGCCACATGCTGCGTTGCCGAGTCCTGTATTTCGGGTGGTATTGTTCTTCCTTCTTGCACCCTACAGCCTTACGGTATCCCCTAAAGCCTCCAGAGCCTAGGCCCCAAGCCGTAAGCACGGTGGCAGAACTCCAATGAAGGGAGTGGATATGTGGAGCGTGGGCTGCATTCTCGGTGAGATGGCCTGGGGCCTGGAAGAGCAAAAGCCCTCAGAAAGCTGAACTTCTGAGCTGAACCTGAGCTGAACCTGAGCTAAACCTACCCTAAACCCTAAAACCCTAAACCTCTGAACCTCTTTGAAACCTCTTTGAGAAAACTTCAAAACGGCCGAGGTTTCTGGCAAGCCGATTCTGCGGGGAAGGTCCACCATGGACCAGCTCCAGAAGGCATCCGAAAATAGGGCGGCTTTTAAGGGGAGGCTTTTTTTTGTACCTTTTTTACCGATTCCTTTCTCTTCTTCTGAGACAGGTCGTCGAACTGTAGGGAGCTCGGGTCGTGAAAAGACTGAGAAGAGCGGCTTTTTTTTCTGCAAAGTTCTCCATTCCGGTGCAGCTTGAGGACGGGGAAGCCAAGCGAACAAGACTTGCGTCGTGGGCTCAACAGCACATGCCAACTTCGGAAGCGAGAGTGGGGGCTTCGTATGGCACACAATTCTACACAGAGCTTTCGTGAGCAGGTCCCATCACCACAACGTCTCAGTACGTCCAAATCTGAGCGAGCGAGCAAGCCCCCCCGCACTTGATGCGATCAGATTCATTTGCTGCCCGCACGAGGCTCGCACCATGGCCAGCCCCTCAAGGCTGAAAGGCTCAGTAGGCTCAGTAGACTACTCGGCGCTGAGTCTTGCAGACTGTCATGTTCTGACAGTTCTTGACACCGCCCAGTTGGAGAATCTTGGAAATGTGCGTCAGATGCCATCGTCGGTGGCTCAGGTCAGGTTCTCTGTGTGGACAGTGTAGACACCGTCAACGGGAGAAGGATTGCACTGGTGAGATCTTCCACCTTCACATCTGGCCCAGGCATTTACAGTGTGGCACAGCAGGCATTACACAACTTTGGTTCCAACACGAGAGAGACAGAGAGAGCGGAGAGAGGTAGGGGAAGTGAGGTCGAGACTGACGCCGTGCTGCGTGTAAAGTGTAAAGTTCCCCGAGGGACGCGGAAGAGGGGTATGCATGATCACGGGGGTCTCCCCGATGCCCCACAGAAAAGAAAGAAGGGAAGAAGGAAGAAGGGAAGAAGGAAAGAAGGAAAGAAGGAAAGCTTGGGGCTACGTGTCCTTTCTGTTTGTTCGTCTCGCCCGGCTGCCGCTCTCAGAAGTAGGAAGTAGAAAGAAAGAAAAAGAAAGCGTGCGTTTCAGTTATCTGTCACATTCGCCACAGGTCCGGCGTCCTGTTCCTGCTGAAGCTCCCACCGCAGGCCCTCCTCCCTCACTCTGAGAGAAAGAGAATCAAACAGAAGGGGCAAGATAGAACATGACAGTGATCGATCATGTTTTAAAGAGCTCAACACGATGTGCCAACTCATGCTCTCGCACAGAGATCCTTGCGGAGGCTAAGACGCTGACACTGAACTTGCTCAAGTTCAACCCAGAGCGAAGGCACTGAGGGCAGCTGAAGTGATCTTCGCATTCTTCCCTGCCGCAATTTGCTTCCAGGCCTTCAGCAGAGATTGCTCTGCAAGATGTTTTCCTGGAGAAGTTCTACCTGCAGGCAACAAGATGAAGGTTGAGACTGGTTACTATCTGACATGCATTCTACCGCTTCCCGTGGCGCGACCTAGCTGGCATACCTGAAAGGAAGCAGAGCCTCTGTGAAGCACTCGGTTTGAAGTCGTTGATGCTGCAGAAGACGCTCGTTGAACGGGACGGGGTCGCTGATGCATGTGTGTTCTGTTGGAGGGTGGCGTGAAGTTTCTTGTTGGATGCCAAGATGTGACAAGATGATCCGTATGCCGATCAACGACGTCACGAAGCTCAAGGCCGCTGCCTGGCCTCTTGTTGGGCCACAAAAATGCCTCATGTTTACGTTGTCCATCCCTGAAGAGAGAAAACAACTCTGGACCCTCACTCTTTCAATGTTCGCTTGGGATTTTTTGCGCCCATGAATGCAGATAACCTTATTCAAAGAGAGGGGAGAGAGAGGCCGATCACTCTGCCAAAGCTCCTGTGATCTCGATATTTCTCGATCAGATGTCTTCATGTTGTGGGTGACTTGTTCGGGGAGACTCTCCCATGAATTCGGCCAGGCGTCAGATTACAGGGTGCCGGCCCCGGGCCGGCTCTCATCAAGGTTCTCTTGCACGTAAGCTCCGGGTATGAGCGGTCAGAAAGACAATCGGTTTCATGAGGTGAGGGACGTGGGCACTGCACTGAACGAACATTCCGCAGCCCAGGACCAGATCCATGGAATGATAGGCCAGCGTCGCAAGCTGCAACAGGCGCCGCTTCCTGTGCAACCTGGCGTTGGACTGTCAAAGTTTCAAGAGTGCGTAAGGAGGAAGCAAGTATCGCGGCTCGTCCGGGGCCTGACGTGAAGTGATCGCCTGCTCTGTAAGGGCATTTCCTTGAAGCCTGGGAGTTGTTTGCCTGAGTTTTCCCAGGCCGCGGTCGTCAAAGCCTCCGCCGGGCGAGCTCCCGGTTCTCGGTGCCTTGGGCTGCTCTTTGAGATGAAGAGCTGAGAGTCTTCACGCATCTTCACAGCCCGGCAGCGTGCAGAAGCAACTGTGGACACTTTGCAGGGGAGGGATTTTCTGGATTTTCTGCTTGGCCGAGGACGCTTCCCTCTCCAGCTTTCGGGAAGGCCCTCAGGTGCCTTTGAGTTACGCGCCTTTGTGCCGTGTTTTTTTCTGCTCATCTTGCCGCAGCTGGCTTTGGCCGCACATAGGGTGCAGACATGCCCAGACTGGCGTTACAGGTACCCTGGGGTCATGAGAGCGGTGCAGCGGCGCCACGCAGTCAGCAGTTGATTCAATTGACACAAAAAGCAGATGACACGGAGACGGGATTGTTGACTCGCTGTCTACCTTCTCAGCTTGCGATCTTTCGAATCTTGCTAGTTAGTTTCTGTGTCGGTGTCAAGAAGGTTTGAGGTGTGTCTTAAACTTCGCGGTCTCAGGCCACCGTCAACTCCAAAGTGATCTTCGGTCAGATTGCACCAACTGAAGCAGGAGGGTGCCACTGATCAACAGCCGCTACGCTCCTTTCGCATCTGGCAAAGCAAATGGCCAGACCCCACATCTGGTAGTCTAGTCGCCGGGCCTTTACTCACGAGGCGATTCTTGAAGCGGCTCATGGCCAAAGGCCAGTTCCGGTTCCAAAGTGTTCAGCCGACCTCCAGAACGCGCAGCAGCAGTGCACAAATATGTTTGTACTGCACAGGACAGGCCTGAGACCCATGCAACGTCATGATTGACAGCGCTTACGTGTTTGTGCCGGGGGGGGGGGTCTACAGGGAGTGGAGACATCATGCGCGAAAGAAAGTCATATAGAGTATTGCTTGGTCCGCAGCTGCGTGCTTCACCATCCCTCGGGGCGCTGTTTGCTGCTGCCAGGCCTCGGGACCATCACAACTTCTAATGACAGTCAAAGAGTCAAAGGCTGCTCATGGCTTCTCATGGTTGCTAGCGTATGTCTGCTTGTGTCTGTCGGAAACATCGGAAACCTGCCGTGACAAGCAGCCAGACTGTAAATTGATTGTTGAGAAGCCATGACCTGAACCGTGAACCCATGCATCCAGCGCATCAAAACCGAACCCACTGGCTGATCCAAAATGTTTCGTCCCTAGGCAGACAAAGGGGCAGGTCAGGTGACATGAAGGCCCAAAACTTTGCCGAGCAAAGGGCTGAGACTAGAGGCTTCGAGCTTGGACGAGCATCGGAGCTTCTGCATCCCTTGTAGGGATTACATACCAGTGAAAAGGAACGGCAGACGTCCTCAACATCTCTTGCCCAGGCTCAAGACTACAACTGCAGGTATGCGTCCTCTTGGACGAGCGTGTAGCCGACAGTGTGGGTCAAGGTCCTTAAATTCACAAGCAGGCGACTCAACCAGAACAGCTGTGTACGTGGTGCTGTGCCCTTTCATGAGGGCGCGGAGGCCTTCAGGTGCTGAAAACCTGGAGTCTGGTGGCTTTTAAAGGGGAGGACAAGTGGGGAGGGGGGGTGGTGCGGGTGGACGGCAAAGACCATTCAAGTATTTCGCCAGAAGCCGGATGAATGACCAGAGCTGCTGGGTGTCAGGTTTGGTGCGCCCAAGAACGCATGCAACCTAGATCACCGTACAGCAGGAGCCTTACAACTGTGCAAAGATGCTCACGAGAGATCACGAGCGTGATTCCATCACACCTTGCTCTGGATTCCTGTATCATCCCGAGGCTCGCCTTCTCTGTCTCCGGCGCTGTCGCCAACCTCCAAGAAGCGTGGCTTATTCAGTGATGCAGACCAGGCCCTGCAGACAAAGTGTGGATGTAGGCTTGTAGGATGCAGCTACCCATGGAATGGTTCGCGAAGGACCCGGCGGCAAAGCAGTTCCGCCTATCCAGCCCAGAGTTCAGGGAAGCGCCTGCACCTCAGAGCCAAGGGAACAGTTGCAGTCAGCATTCTGAACCGTTCGTGGCAATTGACCAGTATCCGTCCATTAGTTTTCATTGGCCTGGCCACCTCCATGCCTAATTCGGTCGCTTCGGATGCTAGCTACGCAGCGGCATCCATCCGTTGCCCCAAGTCAAAGTACAGCGCCTGCATGTGGTCATGCAACGAAACACTTCGTGAATCTTGGAACCTTGCTTTTTCAGACCACTCTTTCAGACGATTTCACCGTTGCGCGGCTTGTGCTTGCAAGGTTTTCAAAGTTTGATGGTGCGCAGGGCTTCATCGACGTCCAGGGGCAGCCAGCCTTTGAATGTAAGGGGTCTGTCGCTGGTTGCATGAGTCAAGTATGTCCAGCAGGTTGCAGCGTCGCAAGCTAAAGTTCACCACATGCCACATACAATGCTGCCCAGCGCCCCTTGCAATGTCATCTTTCATAGTTTGCTCAGTGTCGGAACCCCCCTTTGGGGTGGCTGCTTCGCTGTGATGGCCAGGCTTTCAAACGCCCTGAACTTTGTAAAGCTCACCGTTGAGGCCCTTTCGGAATTTGTGAGTTTTAAGAAGCCCTGACACAGGCATAATGTGTCAGATTATGCCGTTTGGGCGGTCCCAGGCTGGAACACAGCACAGCCTGCTAAACAGAAACTTCCAGGCAGGTCCCCGCTCGACGTGCAAAAGCGGGAGTGTCGGCTTCACAAGATCACATGCGCAATGCACTTCATTTGTCATCTCAGATATGTAGACACCTGGTTGTCTTTCAAATGCTGTTCACGCAACTTGCCTTCGAGATCTTCGTGCACACTATATTCTGTCACTGCGAAGCTATGCGACGCGTTTAATACGGTAGTGTCCTGCCAAGTTGTGCCTGAAGCTTGGTGCTGCGAAGTGGATAACATCGCCTTGCAGTTATGAGTGCTGCAGTGTGGTGGCAAGCTGAGCAATAAGGGTGGCAGTCGAGTCGCTTTCGAAAAATGTGGTGCCAGAGTATGTGGAGCAGTTGCGACTAATATTATTTTAATGTCAACATGTTGACAGGCCATCTCGAGAAATCACTAGCCGCTAGCCGAATGCGTGGAAGGCTTCCACATGCTGCTGGCTCATGGCGAGATTTGGCAACCAGAACAGGCTGGATTCTGATTGCAGCACTACACGTGCCGTGAAACATTCTGCAGCTGCTCTCATGCTGCTCATACTGGCCTGATTTCAAAGACTCCCGCAAACGGGCAGGTTAGTATTCAGTCAGTGGTGTGAGCTTATGGACTATGTGCCATGGCCTTGGCTGGTCTTAGGCAACATAGTTGATGGAATCTGCTTTGCAACTTACTGGTGCAAAACGCGGAGGCTGGCTTTTGTAGATTCAACCAAGAGACCGAGGTCGAACCTGAAGTTGATATTCCTACAGGCGCATGCAGTCTTCTCCTCCCACGCGCACGGAAGCAAGTTTTGCAAATGCCTGTGTCAGTACTTATTAAAGACTCCCTCGCAGGGTGGCATGCTGTACAGGAGTGTGCTGGTGAGGCTTCAGGTCACAGTTCAGTTGACATTAAAATTTAAACTTCACCAGGTGGTGCAGGCATCCTACGTGAAATAGAGTCAAAAAATGCTTCTTGATCAAGGCAAGCCAGTGCCAATGTAGTCCCAACGCGACTTCCCTTGGAGGTTGATACCGACCGCAGTGGTGCTATTGAGTACTGAGCTGACTGGTCTGCGCACATGCTGTGAGCTTGTTGCTACTGTGACACATCGCGAGACCATATGTGTTCCTTGTTTCCCCGCTCCTCCACTTGCATGAGAAACTTCTACCGATTGAAATCCAGGTTTGCAGAGCTCCAGCGAGCCTTCCAATTGTCAGGACGGAGACGAGCGTGTGGTTTCGGGCAGATCAGATCACGATGTAGATTTGCGTGGTACAGTCTTCCTCTTACGATGCCCACACATCACACATTGGCCCGGTTCGTACTTTGGAGAGCGATCGGCGGTCGACACCCCACGATGAGACAGGAGTCAATCTGGAAGCTGCAGTTATTTTGGAGGCCGGCATACCATGCCGCAGCCTATAGCATTTTGCTTTGAGTCTTTGATGTGGCTGCGATCGGTCGGAACTGGGTGGTGCTTATACAGAGCCTTAGAATCCTTAGCAGTCCAACCTCAGTTGAAACGCTGCTCCAGCTTTGAAGCAGTTTGTGGCGTCACATGGCCGCATTGCGGATCATCCCAGTTCTGCTTCGCATCAATGAAGAAACTGCCAGGTTGGCCAAAGCTATGACAGCGACAAAGATGGCAGTCTTGAGTTTGACGAGTTTGTGCAGATGCGCCTAGAATGGGTGCCTATGCTGCACGGAGGGATGTGTAGGCAGTAGTGCCGTGCTGCGCATACGAGGTTTTCGCGTGTTTTTCCGGTTTTTCCATATATATCCAGCTGGGGAACAATTCTTCAATTCTGATGAGGGGCTTCCTTGTCACCATCTTGGTCAAAGCTTTTGCAAACTGTCTGGCAGCACGTTCGGTGGCCACTGCCACTTCTCATTCTTCTTTCAAGAAGCTGTGGCCATCGAACTTGCTGTCGCCGCAGCTTCTGGAAACCAGAGCGAGAAGTGTTGCAGGCTGTTGCAGTGGACCGAAGCCCATACAAGTTTGCACAAGCTCTGCAGAGTACCGTCGCGATGTAGCACTTCGCCTCTGCAGTTTGAGCAGGAATAACCTACGAAAATAAAACTCCACGATGGAAATCTACGAATTCCGGGCAAGGGAGCCAGACGAGAGTCCTTCACCATGGCTACGAGTCATGCACATGGCAGGTGTGTGTGTGTGCAGCATGCCATAGTGGCTTGGTGTTCAGCAGTGTAACAAGCTAAGGACTTCTATATTGCTGCGTGGGCGCGAGGCTTATGATGGTTTCTACGCTGTGTTTGCACTGTTTAACATGTGCAGGCTTCATTTGGGTCGTATGGCACAGCCCTCGGCTGAGGACGTGCAGACGCAGGGCGCCTTGCAGATTGCTCCGAATCAGCTGCTGCAGGTGTCGGGGGCTCTGTTGCCCCTGTGACAAAGAACAGGAGTGGTGCCATCATGTGCCATCATGTGTGCCATTATGTGTGCCATTATGTGTGCCATCATGTGCCATCATGTGCCATCATGTGCCATCATGTGCCATCCCCATGAGGCTGGAAGAGATCAAAAGATCACTGGAACCTTTGGGCGCTATTATCGGGTCGAGCGGCCTGCCGAGCCCTGAGCAGAGAGTGGTGCTGGGCTCAAACCTCGGCATGTTTGGGTGTACTTTTGCTCTAAGGGCGGGCATCAGCATTCAGGGCATCTTTTATGCTTCCATGCCTTGTGCTCAGCTGGCGGCCAGCTCTGACATTGGCAATCATTGTCTACGGCACCATTGCAGGTTTGGCGCCCACAGGCCTTTCCACCTTAGTACGCGCCGCCTGCAGAAATTCGTTGTTGGGTCCCGCCCGCAGTTCCCGCTGAACATCGCTGAGCCCAAGGTGCGAGAGGCTCATCATCCGCTTCGGTCAGGGCAGCTTGTTTTTGCCGCTTGGCAGCACACAGTCTTCACACCTGCGCTTGCACTTGCAAACTGGTTGGTCTGGCTTAGTAAGGTGCATGAGGGCTGTCCGTCCGTAGTATCTGCCAACAAGCGCTGTACAACTTCATTGCGGCCCTAGGTAGTGCGGGCTCAGTGAGGCTAAGGCTGTCAGGGTTGCCCTTTCTGCATGAGCTGTATTCCCTCGTGCCCAGGAATTTCGAGCAGTTCTGCAGCATGATGGTTTTCCTGAAGGCCTTCTTGCAGCTGCCAACTTTGGATCTGTCTTCGTAGAAACTGCCCAGGAGATGAAGAGTGCCTTTAGCAGCCTGGACCACAAGGCGGCTGCAACTGTCTGTCTTGGATGAGGATGTGAGATGAAGAGGTGGAAAGCATCAGTCAACCCGTGCTTGTTGGCCTCAAGACGTCTATCCCGTGTTAATTGCAAGTCCTCACCAGAGGCTGCTAGCCCTAACCTCAATGCATCTGAAGGGTGCCGGGTCTCTTCAGTTGCCAGAGCTTTGCAACGCCTTTTGGCGGGTGTGCACCTCAGCTTGGCGGCGTCTAAAGCTGCATTGCGTTCGTGCAGCGCTACGGATGTTCCATACACTGGCGCACATGAGCGACCGTTAAAGCAGCCATTTTCAAGGCGTGCCACATGAAGTTTGTTCATGACGAAACTTGACTTGGTAGGGTGCCTTTCAAACTGGCCCAGATCCTGGTTAGCACGGCAAACTTGTCTTCATAGGGCACCCCTACAAAGCACAATTCAATTTCACGGCAGCAACCCAGACAGGGGTGTGACCGGCCTTTGTGCAGGTTCCCAAAAATGCATCACCATGCCGGTGTGCAGTCTGCGCAGGCATTGTGCGTTAAGCGGCGTTCATGCCGGGCGCTTGCTCAGCCACCTTGAGTCACTTGCTCGACTTGCTCACCAGCTCCAGCTCCAGATTGGATATCTTGAGTCACTTGAGACACAGGTCGATGACTTCACTCACCAGCTCATGTCCGCGGCGCTTCCTGGTTCTCCCCTGATGCATGTTGTCCAGCCAATACCCGAGCAGCCCGAGCACGTAAATCCAGACACGGAGGTGACCTCGTGGAAAGGCTGTCAAGGCTCGACTAGCCGGCAAGAGGTGTCGGCGAAATCGCGAAATCGGGGGGGGGGGGGGGACCAGGAAGGATGAAGCGACCAGGACAGCACACGACCGGGGAGGAAGCTGCAGCCCTCTTCACTGATGACATGACCACGGTCATGGTCCGAAATGTGACCACCTGTTGCAACCCTGAAACGTTCCTTGATGCGGTACGTGATGCAGGTTTCGAGAGGACCTTTGACTTCTTCTACACGCCCATGAACTGTAGAACCAAGAAAAATCATGGATATTGCTTCTTGAACTTCCTCTCAGCTTCCAGGGCTCGGGAGTTCATGCAGGTCTTCCACGGAAACAAGCTGGGTCGGCGTCACAACAGGCAGAAAGCTCTTGAGATTATCCCGGCCGCATTGCAGGGCCTGGAGAAGAACATGTCTGCCGTTAAAGGCAGCAGCGACCGCATCAAGAATAAATGGTTTCGCGCCATGGTGTTTGGAACAAGCGAGGAGGAGCTCTGCACGGGAGAAGATGCCTAGGCCGCATCGCCACGAGGTGATGGTCACATGTACATTACGGGAGGCTTAACCGCCCGAGGCGCGCCAGCTACGAGAGACATGGTTCAGCACAGTGTACAGCGAGCAGCAGGCACAAACAGCATTGACCTCTCGGCAGCCAATTGAAGTTGCAGTGGTCATGAGTAAACTATGGTCAGAGGACTGTTTTCTGCTGCCGGGGCGTTGTCTTTGACGCTGCCTAGCATCCCAATCCTCATCAGAGTTGTGTTCGTGTCGGGTAGGATATGGCCTATAGCCCGTCTGCCAAGGCATACTAGGGTTCAATTGAGATTTGCATCGGGCCTGGCAATGTCATTAGCAGCCATGTGGCCCGCAGCTTGCGAAGCTGCGGGGAAGCTGCCACTTCACTTTGCCACCAAAGCAAGGGACCGGGGGCGGATCTTATGCCGATGCGAGGGCTTCAGTCGAATTGGCATTTTTTGGTGTTTGTTTTCGAGATGTGGGCGAGATATGCCTCCAGGTTCACTAGCACTTTAATGGAGCCAGATTAGCCTTCTGTGGGGAAAGTTCTTCTTCGGATGCCAGAAGCTACTACAGCAATTGTGGCCAGGATTTTGTGTTGTAAGGCAAAGGGTTTACGGTTTTACGGTTCAGGGTTTGTGTTGCGCACAGAAGAAGTGCTTTCCCACTTCACGGCGACAGGTTCAAAGCTGGGTTCCGGTACAACTTGAACAGTGGTGGCGTATAAGGCTGTAACCACGTCGCTTCATCAGCAGCCAGTTCTTGTGAAGAACTTGCTGGGGAGTATCTCAGGCCTGCTTGGAGAGATCATGATCCGGCAACTGCACTTTATGGACTTACTTGCCTTGGCCTCCCTGCTACCTCCATCTCATTCTATCTCCCCAAGGTGGCCTGACATGAGTCTAATGAATCTGATGAGTCTGACGGGGCGGACTCTTGCACCGTGCCTGCCCCTTCTAGGCTTTCCAGCACCAGGATTTTCGCCGAAGGGTGAAGGATGGTACAAGGTACCACTAGAGGGATCAAAACTTACTACTTGCTATGTTCACTGGATGTAAGGGTCTGGCGCGGCTGCAACCATCGCTCGGCATTCGTGGTCTTTTGCATCTCTGAGTCTCCTTGATTTGAGAAGCCGATCCACTCGTTTTCCCTGGGCGTGTGACTTATGTTTATACTCCAACTCACTTGCGTCTCAAAAAGATGCACCCATGCAGACGAAAAGGTTTCCACAGGTGATAGCGCCGGCTGACACCTCCACCGAAAATTGCAGCAAACGAGCCACGATGTACTTAAGCACTACATGAGAACCACGATCATCGCGTCAGGAAACGTGCCTAGCAGTCACCTTAACAGAGTCGGGAACAATTAGACCAGATCTCACATGGCTGTATTCGGCCGCTCTTCGGGAGTTGCTACTTCTGCGCTGCCCATCGAGGCTAGGATCAACCTGCCCGAGGCATTGATCCAGCAGATAGGCCGGAGCATGCCCTTAGCACTCTGGCCTTGGGCCCTGGCCTTCCATGTGCCGACAAGTGCAGCTGGAGCCTGGACACCGGGAGGCAAACGTTTTGACAGCGACAATTCTGGCGGCATCGAGTTTGACGAGTTCATACAGATGACTGCAGAATGGCTTAGGCCTTACGAAGCCGAGAAGTATGAGAAATATCTACGGCCCGCTTCTTGAGAGTGGTTTGTGGGTTAGAAGCTCTGAGTGCGGCAGCTAAGGCACGAGATGTGGAAACTGCAAGATCGCTTTAGCACCACCATCGCGGCAGAGGAGCTCGGCGCCTTAGTGAAGCTGAGAGGCTCTGAGAAGCTTTCAAGTATCTCAAGTATCTCAATTATCTCAATTATCTCAACTGTCTCAGTTGTCTCAATTCTCTCTTCACAAATCTGAGCGAGCCTCCCCTCAGGCTGTCACGAATGTTGGGGAGTGTCCAGGTGATCTACCAGGCTTGCTGGTTCTGTGCCGTACCGTGCATGGGCCAAGAAGGCTTCAATGTGGGCTAGAAAGAGACAGTCTGGCGTTTTGCCGTTTGCCGGCCGTGATCTGCCGAGCGTAGGCTCCACGATTTCGACTTTGCTGCCTTCGCTCGCTAGGTCATCAACGGCTCCATCCAGACATTGCGACCGTTTAGCCGACCACACAGCTTTCAGTTGGAGTACAAAGCAGCAAGCATTTCAGCTGGAGCGCCCATTGCGAGACAGACTGCGTGGCACCCTTTTCCATGTGCTCGAAGGCCTAAATACGTGCCGCTGGTTGATTGCCAAGTTCGGGACCTGCCAGGTCAATTCAGTGCAGTGGTTTTTTGTTGGGGGGGCTGCTGTGGGGGCAGATTGTGGACTAAGCGCAGTTGAGCCTGCCTGGCAGGCAGGTGAACGCTTTGCGCACGAGACTTACAGCATTGTCTGGCATAGTGCAAATTTGAGGTATCAGGTTCATCAAATTCAGCAGCCTCGTCCAGGAAACGTCTGGCATACCAGGAGTTCCTGCAGTTGATCCAGTATCTGAAGGCAGCAGAGCTCCTCCAAATCCCCAAATCCCCTTCGTGAGATCTAGAATCCAGTAGACGAGATGTCCACTCTCATGTGTAGCTGCAGGACTGCCATCTGACCTTCCTCAGATTTGACTACGATCGGCGCGCTGCAAGAGTCTGTCTAAGAGTAAGAGGCAATCAGAAGCCTTCGATGAAGTTATCTTAGTTATCTTTCCCTTTGGTCGTCCTTGCCAGGGTGGGAAGCCTCGGCGCGCAGCACCTTGGTGCGCCCGACGGGAAAATGTGAGGGGAGACATCTTGTCATTGTGATCACAAGAGCTTCCCCATTGTCTCGGAAGGCCTCTCAGGTTCTGGGCCCTCCCGAATGCCGGCAGAGTGCGAAATTGGTCACTAACCCTCACTAACACTGCATCAAGTCCGGCTCTGCTGGAGATGTGGAGGGTCCCTGGAATCGCGACGTCGGAAAGGTAGTCTCATGATCCTGGTGACCAGATAGACTTGAGTGTGTGCTGCAGAATTTGTGGATACATCATGCTTGCGTCTCCTCGGGCCGGGTTTTCAATGGATTTGGCAGCGGGCCCCCAAAGCTCCCAAAGGCTCCCGGCAGTCCTTTGAAAAGCTTCTAAGGGAGCCATGAAGTTAAATAGTTTCGTTTGTGCAAACGTCGTAAACAAATATGGGTTTATGAAGATTTTATGATCTTGGAAACGGTTATGAAAAAGCTATGAAAAATCTGAACAGTTTATGGAAACATTATGGAAAATTTATGACAAATTCTAGCAGCTTCATAAGTAAACCCATAAAGCAATCTACTAAAAACATGAAAAACAACCATAAATAAAGCCAAACCATTAAACACAAAAACCCACTAAAAAATCATAAATCCAGCCATAAATCCGGGTATGCGAAACATAAACGTTATATACATGTTAGGAAAAATTGTGAAAGCAGAGGTGGCTGCGGCCAGAATGAGACAGCAAACCCAAAAGCATAACCAACTCATGAAAAATCATTTCTGTCTCTTGAAAGTTAATTAGGAGCATTTATGAATATATGAATAGGCCCCAGCTTCCCTAAATCTTTTTTTGTCATAAATTTGGCATAAATGCAAACCACATAAACTTCAAAAAGAAATCATGAATAAACATATTTGTGGGTTTGGGGGGTTTTCCAGCCTTCGACAGTCTCAACACTAATCAGAGGAAGGGAAAGGAAGGAGACATTTGCCAGCGTGCCCGCGGATTCGACCAAAGAGATTTTTCGAGTCAGAAGAGGGCTCAAGCATGCTCAAGCGCCACAGGCAGCGTCCTTGCAGCGTTTGGTTTAACCCTCAGCAGCTGCCCCAGCATTTGGCTTTGGCTGCGCATCGCATTGCTCGTCTTGGTAGCGCCAGTTAGATGTGCCTAGATGTGCCCAGATGCCCCATGTGCCTATGGTTGCCCTTCCCTGCAACCACGCAGCGATCACGCAGCATCAAGCTTAGGTGCGGATGCCGTCGACAACATTCGTCTAAGTTTCAGGCCCAGTGCAGCAACTGAAGCGTGCAACCCCCCACATCGCCCAAGAAACCCAACACGCCGAGCGCGAAAGCTAAGGCTACGATGTAGACCACTCCAATACTCTGGGCTTCGACGAATTCTTGCAGATGCTCCTGGAGGCCTTGGCCAAGTTTAGCACAAGCAAGGTCATGCCGACAGATGAGCATGTGCATATCCTGCCAGGTGCAGCTGTATGAACAGTGTTGCATGCTTGGACTGCACATAGTTTTTTGGGCTCGTTGTCTAGCGTCTAGCGGCATGCTGCTGTTAATGAGTCAACGCTTTCAGTGGGCAGACAGAGCCGATGAAGTTCAAGCCGCCGAATGCCGTTGACAAAGCTAATGTAGTAGGTTTCGAGACCACGTCTTACATGGAGCTCCGAATCAAACTCCCAAGCTTCCTAGTTGTAAGTTTCCTGTCTTGCTTCAACTCCTTTTCCTTCCGAGTCTTCAAGGCAGCGACCTTTAACTTGGAGTGCTCTTCCAGTTTTAAAGGATAAAGCAGATGAGGGTTGCAATATGTAGGCCTTTGCGAAGCCGGAGGCCAAGGCATGCTTCAAGGAGGGTCTAGGTCCAGGCTTGAGCCTTGTGATCGAACAGAGCAGGCTCCACATGCATATCGCTTTCCGGCCGGTAAACCTCGTTCGCAGCTGCATGCTGCAGCATCGATGTGACTCAGGTTTCAGCAACCGTGAGCGGAATCCTGCGCTGCTCACGCCGTCCGACACACAGCAAGCATGATGTGCTTCAAGTGCGGATCCTAAGTCGACTCCATTTTGCAGGCTCAACACGCTCAACCCCATCCTTGGCCCGGAGCCAAACCAACTGGGTCAACTCCGCGACGGCGTTGCATGTGGCTTTCTTCTTCTGCAACACAGGCCAGTCTGTTGCCGGCGGAATGTCCTCTGGTATCGACCGGCGCTCAGAGCTCCTCTCCCAGCGCTTGACAGGATCATGAGCCGGAAGCCTCCACATCTTGCCAGGTGGCTCTGGATCGCTCTGCCTTTTTCTCCTTGGTGCGCCTGCTATCTCAACTGGGATCCCGGGCTTGCTCATGCTTGCTCCTTTCTGCAGCCGCTTGACTTGGCCTTGCTTGTGCCAGACTTGTGCTGGCCTTTGTGCTGACTTGGTGCCTTTGCAGGTGTTTGCTGTACCCCGCCAGTTGACATTGCAAGGCTGAGGTGCCCATGCCAAGCTCTTAGCATGAGAGGGGCCCCGCTGTGGGTGTTTTCTAGCGCTCTGTTGAAACGCTCCGTGAGACATAAGGGCAGACCTGACGAACGACCGAAAGGGGGCGGCCAGGACTGGAAGAAACAGTGAGTCACCTCTGCCATCCCCTCCCCCCTACTGCCACAAGAGGCGCAGGAGCACATGGGGAAGGGCCTTCGTTGGCGCTATTACCCACCTGCTGGAAATGAACATCGAGTTGCACGCGCACATGCACGCACGCAAGCACGGCTACTCCCGCAGATCCATACTACCTACATACATGCATACATGCATACATACACACATGCATACATACATACATACATACACAGACACACACACACACACACATCCGCGTACGTACACGTACACGTACACATACAGATACACGTACACGTACATGCACATACATACATACATACGTACATACACATACATATACGAACCCATACAAGCCCACACACACAGATACACATACACATACACATACACATACACATACACATATACACACATGCACGCGCGCACACCAACCAACCAGCCAACCAACCAAGTCATACACCAACCATACACACGCACCCCCCCCACACAGACACACACAGAAACACACAGAAGCACACACACACACACACACACACACACACACACACACACACTCTCTCTCTCTCTCTCCCGCGCGCACACAGAGACAAAGGATGTAGCCACAAAGGCCAAAACCAAACTGGACAAGTTTCAAACAAGCATGTTGCGCAGCTAGCCTAACATCACGACATAGCAACATTGTCGAAAGCATTAAACGTTTGCAGGTGCACATCCATGGCCAGTGGATGCTTCCTCCCCTGATGTGTAGTTTCGTTGGGTAGTTTCGTTGGGCGCGTAGAACCAGAGGGCCAGATGCACGACATCAACTGTCAGTTTGCAGCATATCCAGACGCGCGCACATATGCACATATCGGAGCCACAAGCCCGGTTCTGGAATCATCACCCCGACTCTGAAATTGACCCTCCCATTCAGTTTTTTCAATTTCAGGGCGACCCGCTTGTTCTGTGTCTCAAAGAAAAACATTCTATACGGTTGATGCTGAGTTCTGGTTATTGAAAGAGGTCAGGTCGAAATGCGATTGCAGCTCAGGGCGGTTTTTAGCTATTGTGGCCAGCACAGACAGTACGCCTGGACCTACAATTGCAAGACATCCGCACAAACACAACAATTGACGTGAATGCATGGTGTTCATCATGAGCCCAGTGTTGTGGTCTGACTCCGCGTCTTTCCTTTCTCAGCCACGATTTTGCAAACCAGGACCTTGAGACGACTGCTATGGTGACAAGCGCCTGTCGTCGCACTTCAGGCAGAAACCCAGAAGCCATGGCGTTTTACAACAAGTGCAAAGAGCATGGCATGAAGTCCATAGAGTCCAACTGAGGGTACATGCCGTTACATGCCATGGGCAGATTGCAAGTCATGCCCCCAGGCTGGCAGCGATCAAATTGCCCTGGAATGCCAGTCGATGCCAGTCGCAGCACACGACCTCGTGGCATTTGCATGCATGATGGTTTGCATTGAGCTGTTTTGATGCAACCTTTGGAGATGGAATTGCCAGCGTGCCGCCCCCAGATCGTTTCGAAAAAATGTGTGCGGAGCTTGGCTCTACATGGCCGCACCAGTAGATGACTCTGTGCGTGTATTCCTTTGAAGCAGTGTGTAAAAAGAGCCTGAGCAAACAAGCTCAAGCAGGCAACGGGCTAAGAATCTTTCACTACTGTTATCGTGGCCACACAGCACTTGGCCAATCATCCAGACTGTCCAGAAACAAGGCACATTTCAGATTGTGGTTTGGGGTGGCGCTGCCCGGAAATTTGCGACAGGAACCGTGCCATAGTCCGCGTGCAAGCATTGACTTGATTCGCCCTTCTGGAAGCCTTGCACAGAATTAGAGAGTTAATTGGAGTCTTAAGCTTCTCCCGAATAAATACATGCTTCTCTTGGCTGGCATGGGGGAAACCGGGGGAAACTGGGGGGCCGCAGCTGCCACGCTCGAGATGCGTGGTGCCCATCGTTGCTGAGAGGCCGGCAAGTGGAGTCCCAAATTGAATACGCGCCACGAGTCCACATCCGCCGGCAGGGTGTTTCGAATCGCAGGGGCTCCGGCCTCCAGGCATTGCTGTATCTCCGTGTTGCTCTATTCGCTTCGGCTTTCAGCCTGCTCCTGGAGCTCTGTTGCCAGGATTGTGTGGCACCCATGGCGATGGTCGCATCCCAGTCCTTCTTGAAGGACATGCAGGTAAACTGGGGATCCATCGCAACTGTCAGCCACTTGGCAGCTACCTTTGCAGATGTTCTTTTCACCCCTTGTTTGGTGATGTTGCCGGCTTGAACCCTAATGTGTTACAGGATTGCTTGCGGTGGTTTCCCTAAATGCCTGGCTTTGAAAGGTGAAGAAGCATCGAGGGCTATGGAGACAGTGCAAGCCAAAGCCAAGCAACCAGAAGACACTTCGCTGCATACTGTGATGAAACCAGTGCTGCAACGTGACGTCGTCAAAATGGTAAGTGCGATGTCGCACGCTGACCGCTCCTGGTACGTCTGATCTCCCGGTGTGATCAAGGACATGATCTCGACTGCGCAGCTTCCTGCCTCTTGGATGCCTTGGTTTCACGAAGCTGGACCTGTATGTCTTGGCACCCAATCCCCTTGTCCCGTGCCTCGGTCCAAACTGCCTTGTGAGGTAAGTTCTGTTCGCGATGCCGCGACTCAACTTCCATGGCAGCATCCATTGAAGTAAGACTGACACGGAGAATACGGAAAGTTTCCCAAAAAAGCGTACTCGTAGCGTTGGTTAAAGTGTGCGTTGGAGGCGGGGGGAGGGTGGGGGCTGATGGCCTGCCCTGGGTGCAACGGTGCAACCACGCCCGCACATAAATTACTTCGATTTTCACGTGCTTCTTTCAGGAATACTGTAGACATACGCCTGTACGTACGCCCTCGCGAGAGCATGGGACCGATGATCGCGTGAGTGTGATGATGAGGTGATCCTTTTGCAAAGCCCCGGCAGCGGCGCAGGGCGAGAACTCGAGCCAGCACCTTGTCACCGACCGAATTTATGTCGGTACATGTTTCAGTCAGGAGCTCGTAGCAGAGTGCACAGGCAGACAATCGTGGCACATGGCAGCGCAGGGTCATGCAGTGCAATGCAGCGCAGCTGAACGGGCCAAGTTTTGCTCAGGATGAGTTGCAGGAGATAGTGGCGGAGCTGATAGCTGCGTACAGCGACCCCGATCTTCAAAGAAAGATTAGAGAGATATATGACACTTGGCCTTGACCCAGCTGGGTTTTTAATCATGTGACAGGACTTCGTGTCGGGCCTCGAGCTGCCCTTTTTGTCACCACCAGAAGTCGCTGTCCCGAAACTACTCTGAAACTGCTCGACCTCGCTCGACCTCGCTCGACCTCTGAAGGAGAAGCAGAGGAGAGCCCAGCTCCAAGCAAGCGCAACAGGTGCTGCCTCGGAGGACAGGCCATGGACTTTCCATGCATATTCATTGTACATCCTCTTTGTACTGTAGCTGCTCCGGCATGTTCGGACGGTGTTTTTGGTTTCCAGCAGGAGCTTTTCAGGGAACAAGTCGAAATTTCTCATGTGGAGACATTAACGCCAGATCTCCGCTCTGCACGGCCACAGCCACTAGGACCACATGGCTGAGCTTCGGGAAATCTTGTGGCCCTGCCAGACCGAGACTTCCAAAGCAAGTCTGCGTTTTGAGTTGGAAGCCGATGTTCTGAAGAAAGACCACCGGGATCCCAAATCTAATGTGCAAATGCAGAATCAAAAGGGACCTGACAAAGTGATCTCAGGATATTGCGGAAGCCTACGGGCTGCCCGGGACTACAGAAGGACTACAGCGCATCCAGAATTCCGTGCAAAGACGAATCACCGAAGGTGACGTCGAGATAAGCTGCTCGATTGATCTCACGTTCCAGTTGCTTCCAGCTTATTGTCTCAGTGCTTCGCTGTGCTCCGCTGTGCTTCACTGTGCTTCACTGTGGCGTTGCTACGTTGTGCGTTGTCGTGCTGAGGATGCCTTGCGGATGAGGCATTGATGCTGATTGGGATGAGCCCTTTGCAAAACATCATCCAGGAGGTGAAGGCTGAGGCCCATGAATCAGCCCAGAAACTCAGAAATCTGTCGTCAGTCAGCGAGTTTTAGTGATGAGGCACTTGCTCGTTCGGCTTGCGGCGTGCGAAGGATGGCTTCTAATCCAATCAAGCGTGCTTGCCAGGATTTCTTGAATTGTATATACGGAGCAGCCGGGGAGACTCGGATGAAGTTTTTGCTACCCAACATGGTTGTGTTATTCGCCCCTTGCGTGCTGGGGGTAGACTAAGGGGTGAAGAAACCTTGTGCGCACCGCTGGGTTGACTTTGTGGGTGGCTGGGTTGACTTTGGGATTCGGGGGTCCATAGTAATTACTTGGGGAGTCATTCTGAAAACAGCGGCTTAGGACAGCAGCGGCACGGAGATAGAGGAGTTTTTCCTGAATCTTCGATGTGAGACCCCGCTGGCCACTCGGACAAGAACTGCAAGCCATGGGGCTGACAGAGGGTATCACCTTGTGGCTAGCGGATGCAGGCGAGCACTTTACCGTAGTTCATTTCCACGAGCAAGAGCAGATGATGTCCTGAAGCCGCGCTGAAGCCTTTCGAACCGAGGAGAAAGCAGCCCACAGCTTAGCACACGGCGTTTGTGCTGCCTTCACCTTCTTTCGTCCTGGTATGAGTTTTCCATCCTCATTCTGACTTCTTCTCTTCTTTAGATCCTCTTTCCTGGCCTTTCGCGCCCATATCTGCAGCTGCGAGGCGCGGGCACGCGGGCTTATGGCAGCTCGGCGCCTCAAGGAAGAGCGCAACCCACCGGGCGGCCTCACGTGTGGCAACTCGGAACCATGCAGAATTGGGGCTTCGGCTTCCCTGGCTCCGAGTTGCCGACATGCTCCCGGCTCCTGAATTAGGCTTGCTGCGCACCTGGGCCGCCTACGAGAAGAGTCCCGGCAGCAGAGCCTCTTTTTTGTCAGGCAAGCTGTAGTCCATCCTGTAAGCCATTTGTCCTGGGACAGCAAGAAGGGCAAGCGGGAAATGTTCCGTGATGTCCTCAGATTGCCTCAGATCCCAAAAGGCGTGAAGAGGCTTACGGGCAAGGCTAGGCTGAGAGTTTTTCCACGCTTGCTCCGCCATGCTCCGCCACGCTCTGCCATGCTCCGCCATGCAGTTGGCAATTTCAGACGCAGGGACAGTTGGCCGGGCAGCATCAAAAGAATGTTGCACAGGGGACAGTTGGCGTTCACCCAACCCCAAATGCCTTAGCATCCCGGCACACCATCCACAAGCACTTCCCTGTTGCAGCGTTCCTTTGCATGTGTACCTGTGCTGAGAGAATCAAAACGAACGAAAACGACTGAAAACGAATGCTTGCGGTTGCAAGCGTGGTGCTCTCCGTATATATTTACAAGTTGCCTGCATGCCTGCTCTAAGAAGAAGAAGATAAGTTCTTTAAGGCGAGGAGTGAGTGGAGGCACACGCTTGGAGCAGCAAAGCTTAGGCTTGGGCTGGCCCCTCAGCACATCATCAGCACCGCGCCGCCGCCCGTGGCGCGGCTCAAGAACCCCAGCGCTGCCCAGGCGCTGGACCGACAGAGCAGGAGTGAGCGTTTCTGGGCCATGCCACAAGTACTAAATCATCTGGTGGCCAAGTGGTTGGAAAGTCAGGGAAAGCCCATCCTGCAATCAGTTCACGGCATGTGCACAGGTCTGGGAGTTCGCTGCCTGTCTGCACGAGTTGTTCAGATCTGCCAAGCTGCGCGCTGCATGCAGACTGTATCAAAGGTGCTTCGAAATCAGCCCGTCATCATCGAGGGCGCATGCAATCCCAAAGATTTTCCTCCCGCCGGTGACTTCGCGGACCATGCTTGTCAATGGTTGTCACTACCTGCTCGCTTTGCCATGGGTAGCAGATCTCAGCATGGCATCTGCTCACCTGCAGGATTTCGACTACTTGCGAGCCCGGTGCGGACATCGTTATGTCAAGGTTAAGGGAGATTCGTGCTGGGACAACAAGGGGCGACAGCTGTTCCTCAATGATCCCACGATCGAGATCTCTGTATCTGAAGCGGCGCTGCAAGCTCCTTACGTGTTTTTTTTGGTAAGGTGAAGTTGCAAAACGCCCCTTTTCCCTCTTAGTGCTCTTGAAGTTGCAAACTGGGACAGCTAGAGCCGTGCTTAACGCTGGGCTTGGACAGGGGCTCTTCTTTTCTCCAGCGGGCTAGACAGTTAGGCCCGTCTCAGGGTCCACATGACCCACTTTGGTTAAGAGACTTCTGAGAGCTCAGCGCGGCACTCGGAGCTCAGGACTACCTGGATCTTGTAGAAGTTGCCGAAGAGCACGAGACATGCATCTCCTGGTACATGGGCAAACTGCCACTGCACACCGACCTGCCCGAGTTGTTTGAGGACGAAAGCGGCCCCGCTTTCATCCCCTTTCAGGGCTTTGAAGGGCGTAAAACAAGATTCTTGGGATGCTCAGTCTAATTAGTGATGGGCAGCTTGCCTGCTCATGAATACTTATGGGAGCTGGGTTCCGAGCAGTGGTCGAGTTCTGCTGCAAGCAGGATGTAGGGCCAATGTAGGGGGCGGCATGTGCATGACTCTCTTGATGCCTGGAGGACATTAATAGCTCGCCAAACTCTCCTTGGCGAAAGTTTGGAACTTGCTTTGGTGAGAACAACAAAGGGGTGCACACATACTTTGGCTGCGGTGGAAACACCACCTGCATTCACTCTGACCCATCAGAGAATCTTTTATTGGTTGTTATGGGCGAGAAGTTCATGGACATCTACCCACCTTGTGATGCTGCCTGTGCCCTGCTTGCCATTGGCGGGTTGTCGCTACCGATCATCATTGCATAAGCCCTTTTGCTTCTCTGTTACTTCGCTTTAGACACTGCAGTTTCTGTCCGGTCCTAACTTGCAAGACAGTACCCTTCGATGCAGTCGCAGGAGGGTTGGGAAGCGTGGGTTGCCAGCGTAAGGCATGCACACGACCGTGAAGAAGTTCCTCAACTCACTCGTGCCACCTTTCATTGATCCCAACTTCGTGCCCGAGGAGGCAAGTCGCATGTGTCGCCTGAGCATCGTGTTTTGCAGAAGTTTTCTCCCTTGTGCGCAAAAAGAAATTAATCAGGTTGACAAGAACTGGGGCAACTACAAGTATGCGCAGCCCCAGAAGGTCCACCTGAAAGCTGGAGATCTGCCGCTTGAAAACACCAGATGTGCCCAGTACGGAAGAGTGCCCCTGTTTATCCTCCCCCTCCCCATGCGCTTTTCTTGGATCCCAGGTTTTACCTTCCAATCTTTTGGTGGCACTCCGTGCAAGGCCCGCGACATGGGTCCAGGCCCCAGAAAATTTTAGATCTCAGTTGCTCGCGCGCAGGCTCGATCGGGAGGAACATGATCCTCAACTGGTGGTGCCTTCAGCATCCCTACAAGGAGCCTGGATTCAAGTAGCTAAGTAGCGTGAGTTCATGGTGAAGTTCGAGACTCCCATTGTCGACGTTTTAGAAAGTCCAATCCCTACGTGCAAGCCACCCCAAGCCAGATGCCGAATATGCCAGCTGAGGAGCACAAGTACACAGGCTATGAGGGTGCCCGCGAGGTTTTGGAAGTTCTACAGCACCTGAACGAGGCCATGGCTAAGACTAAGAATAGGGGCAGGGGATCCTAGCTTCAACGCAGAATGTACACCCAATCTTGTATTGACGGTTGCACGCCTTCGTTTGGTTTTTGCTTTTTCCTCGAAAATCGATGGGGGCCCACCAAGCATGTTGCGTAACGTTCGGCGAACACATGGCTTGTCGGTCGCTCAAGTGATGCAAGGCCTGGTCTTCAAATGAGGCTTGGGCTGCATGTTGCGCCGTTTCTGCAAGCTCAATCCAGTGTGCTGTCCATCTTGGCTGTCAGCAATCGCATCCAGCTGAGGACAAGTCGTCAGCGAGCGCTCAGGAACGTTCAGTGGCTCAAGAGTTGGGAAACGGCGTGCTATACTCCGACTCGATGTGCGCTGCCAGCAACAGCAGCTTGGCATTGAATGCGTGAAGAACGAGTGGGCATCATGAGCTCGGGCTGCCGGCGCCTGCCCTTGTGTCAGGCTACAAGAAGCTGGTGGCGCCACCTGCACCAAAATCCCTGTCACAGGTGACGAAAGGGGGCGGTATGGGGGCAATTACATCACAAGTATCACAAGACAACCTGTGAGGAGAACCGGGGCATGAACGACATGAATTCCATGTCGCTCGGACCGACCAAGGTGCCTCGGCTTGTCTCGCCCGGCTGTTAAGGATTCTTGCAGAGTTAACGGAGATTGCAACAACATGTAGGGGAGTTTTGTATAATCCTGTCGCTGGGCAACCACCACTTGCACTTCTTGGCAAGGCGAGAGCGCCTGCCACTTCTGGATCTGTGCCTACAAATGGCTTCCGATGGAAATCGTCCCGGTAACGCGGGAAGTTGAGAGCAACAGCCCAACGACTCAATTCAACGTTGCACTCTGTGAGCTTCCAGTGGAGGCTCCCTAGCGGGACGCGAGCACATGCTAGGCGGAGGATTGGACTGCTTGTTCCAGGTGTTTCAAGTACACAGTGTATCACAGTAATGTTGACTTCGCATTAATAAACCCCCCCCCCCCTTGATTGATCAATCTCTCTGGCCAGGGCCTCCTCAATTATATTCGCCTAAATCCTGGTAGGACGTACTATTAGTTTTAGTATTAGGTAGTAGCACCACGCCCGTAAAAAACGGATTTCCCGGGTCGGATTTTACAATTGTGGCGGGTTACAATATTGTGTTCCGGCAGCTGGATTTTACAATTGCGGCGGGAATCATTAATGTGAAGTCAACATTATTCTACGGTATATTACACAGTATATTACAAAGTAAACTGCAGTATATATTACACATCCACATCTTTTTTACAACATATTACAGTATACCCCCTTGCTTTCGAGTCCATCCAAACAGTCCAGAGGTCGCTCCATGGTTCACAACCTACGCCTTGTGGACAGTAGGGACCTGTTGAAGGAGTGAGGGATTCTGCTGGCCAGCTTGCACAACTAGCATACTGAAACAATTACGTCAGAATATGCAGAATTGAACCAAAAGACTGGCGGCTGATCTCGTAATCTTGCTCCTAGTGCACAGCACACATCGATGAACATGTTGCACTGGGGTAGTATTTCATGCCAGGGAGACTATCCTGCCGGTTATGATTGTGGTTACGAGCTGGCTCATACTGGCTCCAGAGACCACACTTCATTCTTCCAACATTTGCTTGCAAGTGTCTGCAGTGTCACATGCAGCACCCTTGCAATGCCAGCGAAGCGGTAGATCAGACTCTCAGACCCGAGAGGCGCGTGCTGACTTCTTTAACATGGCACGTCGGCACTCGTCAGAGAAAAGATGGCCCCATGCTAATGCTGTACCAGGGCAGGGGTCCCTCTTCTTCTTCCTTTGCTAGCCATCCCCGAACCTCACCGATTTTGGGAAGCTCTGAATCTGAAACTGGACAAGGTTCCGATTTTGGACAAGGTTCGCTTCTCAAGGCTTCGAGCATGCTTCGGGTGTGTGCGCTACGTGGACCTACTGGGCCATCTCCCCCCGGCCGGGCACAGCCCCAGACATCGCCTTCCCCCAGAATAGAACATTGGCATACCTGAATTGGAAGTCTAAAGCCCAAGGCCCTCATCAGGCCGACCTTCCCAAGCCTGTCAACAGTCTCAGCATTGCCTTGCTCCCCTTTCTTTTGGCTCCACAGAGAATTCAAGGACACTGTGAGGGGTGTGGTGCACGTGAGCCTTGAGCCCTGAGGGCAAGTGCTCACGGCATTCCATCTCGCATTCCAGCAGATCCACGCAGATCCAGGCTTGCCCTCGCGGCTCTGCGCGTACATGCGCAAACGCTTTTCTGAGAGAGCCGGGTGTGCTGGGGTGTGAAAAGGACGCGCTGAGCACAAGCGTCACAAGAGCAGCTGTGTGGCAGGGCCGGCCCGACGACCCTCCAGCACTGATCTGCACGCTGCTGTGGCTGGATTTTTCACAGTGATCTTGCAACTGTGATGCGAAACGGATGCTCAGATGCTGGCAAGGATTCTTGGTCAGCGAAGCTGCCACCTCGCTCCCTAAGCTTGGAATGACGGAGGCCTGGCACCCGAGCGGCCTGGCAAGCGGGAGCGTGCGTTGTGCCGGTACTCATGTGCCCCAGGCTGACGCCGCGAAGGGTGCGGCCACGGAGCCAAAGCCAGAAGACTTCAACATCGAGGAGGCCACCACTGGGCAGAAGCCTACGAGTCGAAGTCTGTCTAGGTACGCGGGATTTCGCAAGCAGTCCCAAGTTGTGAGCTTCCTGGTGTAGGCGCTGGAAGCTTTCCTTGCCGACGTGCCACCTGGCTGCAACAGCAGACGCCGCGTTTCATGTGACGTGGCGATGTGGTGCCCTTCGCGCTTCGCACAGGAGTAGCAATGAGCTTCGGCTGCCGCCCTTGGATCCAGAGCAGCGCAAGCAGGCAAGGACGGCACACGCTCATGCAAGCTGATGTGAGCATGAGGGGGGCGCTGCCGCCCGTGACGGTCGCAAGAAGCACAGCAGGCAGCACAGCAGGCATGGAAGCTCGAACAAGACCTGCCAGGCCAAGAAGCTTGCGGAGAAGTATCCAGAGATCAAGTGTGAAAGCTACGGCTTCGGGGAGGAACGAGCCTCTGCTGCACCGAGAACGGCTTCAGAGGGCTGCACTCTCTCTCTTAACTTCTCAAGTGCTTGCGGCATCGACTGCTGAGCGATGGTGTGTAGTTCTGTGCTGTGTAGTTCTGCTCGGCTGCATGGTAAGGCAGGCTCCATCTCTTCAAGACCCCAGCAGCGTTGAAAGCTGGCCTGGCAAAGGAAGGTCTGGGCGTCCAAACTAGCAGACTGGTGACTAGTACAGGCGATGGCAAGCTTCCAGCATTCATACCAGATGACGACACCGTGACAACAAGACTCGCATGTACTTGCTCATTTGACTCTCCGATGGTCCTGGCGGAAGGTTGCAGAGAAGGGCAGCGAACGGAGTGTGCTTCGGACCAGTCAACAGCCGTTTCAGGCCCCTTGGCAAGCTTCATCATCCTGCGTCGCTGCCACTCCCGCACTCCTGGAGTGCCTAGGAGCAACTTCGCCCGAATCTACAGAGGATGCCTCCGGCGGTGCCTTTGAGGATAGCCGGGATGTAGCCACGGCACCACAGCTCCGAGAAGAGGTCTCAAGCATTCGATGCTGGCAGAGCGTGTCCACCTGCAGGAGATCGCGGCGTTGCCGTCGAACCTCTACCAGGTGCGGAACACTTTCATCCACATCGAGGTGGGGCTCCGGCAGCTTGTGGTGCTTTTTTCGCTGTTCGCCGGAATGTGTGCAAGAACACCTGCAGATACTGGCAGGAGAGGGGCGTGGCGGATCAGCGCAACATCCAGTCTATGCCGCACGGCATGCACCCGGGCCGCAAGTTCGATCAGAGATGCCAAGATATTCCAACTTGTGCTGCTTCTCCAAAACCTCCAGAGAGACTGCAGTTGGCGTGTTAGGGTTTCGCAGCTATTGCGGCGGCTAGTTGCGGTTCAGCCACCACCCGCCTGCGGGCCTGTGGTGCGTCAATCAGCAAAATACCGCTGCTGATATCCCTTGAGGTTCCGACAGTGCCTGCAGGAGGAAGCCGTGCAAGGCGCACAAGATCGCGTTGTAGGCCCGGGGCGTCGCGCATCCAGGGTTGCAGGTCGCAGGTCTAACGCTGTGGTGTGCTGTAGTCGCAGCCATGCGCAAGTCTGCACGTCGTTCCTGGCTGAGGCACAGATGCCCCTCCTGCAGAGCCAGCTGTCAAGGCGACACCTCCGATTCCGGAGGAGGTCGCCAAGGCCAGCCGTGACGTTGAGCCGTATTCCATCGCTTTGATTCATGGCATTCGCCACGTGTGACCAAGCCACGTGTGTTACAGTTAACAACCCATGCGAGGAGTTTGCTCCTGGCACGGAGGTGGTCATCGAAGGCCTTGCAGAACATGCGAGGGCTTTGGGTTCTTTGATGGGGAAGCTCAAGACATTCGCCGGCGGCACCTTGACCTGCGAGTTCCAAGGACTGCAGAAATTCCCCGCGTTCAATGGCCTTCACGGAACCATTCAGCTGCTAGACAAGGCTACAGGCCGTCGGAAGCTCGGGCGGCTTAGGCCTTCTTGGGCTGTCAGTCTACTGCAAGCCGCGCTTCCCGCAGCATGCCGCAGCGCGCAAGGCTACAACGTGCAGCTGGCCTCTACAGATGGGCCGCTCGATCAGATCGCCAAGATCAGAGGGGAGAACCTTCGAATGCCACTCGGAGGCATTGAGTTGGGCAGTAGTTGGGCCAATGAAGACCCGCTCACGTCCCACGAGGTTGGTGGGTTTGGTCTGGCTAGATCAGCAGCATGTTTTGCAGCCGTTTTGGCAATCATGAAGCGTGGATGGGCCTTGCTTCTGGAGGGGAAACGATGAATACGGGGCTACGGAGCGCGACGCTGGAACATGCTCTTAGGCCCTTTCAAGTGAAGCTCACGCGAATTTCGTGAAGGGTGAAGCAGGTGTCCCTTTCGACGTGCAGAATTAAGAGCCAGCGGCTTCCGGCGGACCCCCCCGCAAGAATACAGTGGTAGTGCAGTGGTAGTGCTAGGTCCAGCATTGCAAACACGATGGTCCAGCTAGCGTGCCTGAATTTGTTTCCAATGATTCCACCGAGAGACACACACACACACACATGCCGACGTTCAGTGCGGAGGTTGGTGCCGCCGCCTCCGCCATTTGATCCTTGGGATGCACTGGCTCCGGCTGCGGGCGCTGTAGTACTGTAGACTACAACATGACATAACATGACACACGACAAACATGCGGGGCAGATGCCGGGAATTTCCGGCAAAGCCGCTTTCGTGGCTGCCGATGAGCGGATGCTTTCTTGCCGTTTCGGCTCCCCAAAACTTTGCATGTTCGGCTTGGCGTGAGGCGCAAATGATCTAGCAGTAGTGCGACAGCCGAGGAGTCCAGCGTCACGGCCCAGGACTCAGAAGGCCTCAGGGAGTGCAGCTTTCGCGTAGAGATCGGACGCTGATGTGATGATGCTGGAGCTTCCCATGTGACATCGTGCGACCTCACGTGACAAAAAGTAGCAGGGCCGGGTAAAAGAAGTTCCAACGATTTGCGACGCGAGCCAAGGTGGCTCCGTCAGCGATGCACGCAAGGCCTGGTGTCTGTTGCATGTCCTTCGCTTTGTGAGTCCAAGAGTTGGATTCCCATGGCAAGGGCGCCAGACTTCGTCCCGATGCAGCGAACGGGCTTGACAAGCGTTCCGCCTGCTCCTCTGTGGCAGGAGAAGCATCGTGGCATGTCGTCTTGTTTGTGGCTTATGCGAAGTGGCCCCCACTGCCGGTCTCCGCCTCTTGCAGGAGCGCCACCCGGTGCCTCCGCCGATGTACGCAGAGCCTCGGCCAAGCGCGCCTGTGTTGTCAAATTGCCCTTTACGGGGCGCTCCCGGCTGGTAACTAGTTTTTGAGCCTTCGGATGTCGATTGTTAGAATGGACAAGCACCTTGCGCCGGAACAAGCAGCAAAGTTGTTCATAGACGTCGCACCAAGGGCCAGTACGATCCGTACGTCCATCCAGCACACTCGCAACTCACCTGCAAATTGCCAGTAGTAGTGGGGATACTAGACTCTGCCTGTGCGGTGGGGGAGGGCACATCCACTTCGAACTGGACTTTCAAGCTTCAGGGTTGGGGGCTTCGTGTCTCCAAGGTATCCTCCCGTTCCGCCTCCGGTAAAGTATGCAGCGCGCTGACCATCGTATTTCGACCGAATCCGAATTGGCGCCTTGGCGGAACGTTTGGACTTCGGACCGCATCGGGGCCGTCTGGCCCACGTGGTCAGAGCTTCATCAGCTGTGCGAGCGGGTCGAGTGGCACAGACTCATGCCTCCTGGGGCAGCTGAGGAGTATGCGCACAGCTTTGTGACTTATCGAATTCGCGCCTGGGCCTGCTAGTAACTGCCTCGCTAGTTCCAGCTACAGTACAGTCACGCCCAGAAGAATGATTGAGATGATTGAGATATATTGAGATCGAGCCACGTGCCATCTTTTCATTGAGCCATGTCTTCGCATACTAAGGGGCCTCCAAGCCCACGGAATCTGCTCTCAACTTGATTCAGAGCTGAGCATGCTTCACTAGTTTTTCCCATAGGCCCATAGGAGGGCTGAGTGATTGCACCGTTGGGGTCCACCCAGAAGAAATCGGATTGTGGATGCAGACGCAGAGATGTACTGGCATTTGGCTTCGCACATCGTCGGCATTCTGAGGAAGGCCTTGTAGGCTTGTAGGGGCCCGTGCCACTCAGCAATCGGCAAAGCCTCTTTCCTCCGTGCCCGCCTGGTCGAAATTCTGGGCCGGGAGGGCGAAGGAGACCCTGGCGAATGTCGCTTTTGGTTACTGATCGCGGACTTTGTGGGGACACCCCGGCAATGACGCCCACTAGCGGCGTGGGAGCTGCGCGGGTCGCGGGAGGGTTGCGCGATGTTTTCGATGTAGGCAAGGTCGACAGGCATTTACGAAGGCTGCAGATTGAAGGTTGCGATGGCGCAGTAGGGGTGTTCCCCGAGACCCTCCGCCACGATGCTGAAGCGTCCTCGACAAGCCTTGTCATTTTCACCCGTGCTTTGTGGTAGCCTGAACGGTTTGAGGGCTTCTGCCGAGAAGGCTTCAGTCATCGTCACATGCTTGCACGCACCCCAGCGCTGAAGCCTCATCTCAAAAACGAGGGCCTGCTGCAGAGGTGTAAGAGGTGAGAGAGTGTCAACGTGCGATTGACTACGCGTAGCCTCCCAACATTTTGCAGCTTGATACAGACCCTGGTCGGAGCCCTCCAGCTGCATATTCCGTGCTCAGCATGTCATGCACGGCTATAATACGGACATGACATTCAGTTTTTCTGTCTCTCGCATGCGTTTCATGTTTCAACTTTTTCTACGACGCCGAACTCTTGGCTCTGTGCCCTTAGTTTCAGTTAATCTGTACATAGCTGGGTGTCTCAGCAATACTCAGCACTCGGTCACTTGGACGGGTGCTTGCGGGCACTTCAGTGGGGCACCAAACATGGCGTGGAGGTTGCGAAGGGCCAGGAGCGGCACGCTCTTCCTTGTGGCCCTTGTGGTGGCTGCGCTGCTGCAAGTCAGGCATCAGGCAGCCGCTGGCGCGAACAACGTCTTTGTGCTCCCGCCCCAGATCTTGAAGGAGTCGGTGTCGCCCATGTTCCGCTGCTGCACAAGATAGCGGCAAACCCCCAACTTAGCTCGTCGGCATCTGAAGCAGTCCCAACTACTCCTCAAAATACTACTCCTCAACATACGTCAACATCACTGCGGTGTTGCTGTGAGTCAGCCGCCCCTTTCTCTCAGGTCCGCCGACTCGTCCACGGCAGCAAGTACGGCCAATTTGGCTAAAAACATCGTGGGTGCTGGCGTGCTCTCGTTGCCCTCCGGAGCAGCCAAGGTGTTAGATGCAGCTTCTAGCTCTGGAGTAGGTACTCATGATACGAATGTCTCAGTGCTCTTGCTCCTGTACGTGATCTTTGGTGCCCTGAATGCCTACGGCTTCTACCTCATTGGCGAGGTGTGTGAGCGCACCGGATCTCGCACATACCAAGAGGCGCCGAGCCCCATCTGTTCCAGCTACAGGTATCACAAGCGTTGAGCCTCAGCTGCTGGTAGCTGTAGCATGCGTTCTAGACCCATGTTTGGAATGTCGACGAAGCACGCACTAACATTTCTGAGGAAGTCTGGAAAGCCGCTTGAATTTGCACGCACCCCCAGGCCTCTCCATCCTGTGCAATCAGCTGGCGACTGTAATCTCACCAATGCCTAAGCCTTACCTAAGCTAGACCGCGTGATCCTGCACTGCACGCTTGCATTTGTTCAATCGCCCAGAACTGTAGTACAGTGTAGCTGAATCGGTACGAATGGACGTTCGCAGAGCTTGATGTCGCTCGACAATGCTCGAAATACAAAGCTCAGAGAGTCACATGCGTCGCATGATAGCCGGCGAGGCTCGCACCATCCTTTCCAGGCCGGCTCGTGGCCTCCGAAAACACTTTGTGAATCGGGGCGGCGTCACATGGCATCACCAAACCCACGACTCGCCTAGCCGCCCTAGCCGCCCTAGTCGCCCTAGCCGCCCTAGCCGCCCTCGCCGACTTACGCCTGCAGGCTTGGACAAAGGCTCTTGGCCGCCAGTTTGCATGGATGCCAAGCGCGGCGTCCGTGATTTGCAGCTTCACTGGCATGGTGGCTTGCGTCTCCGTGATTGGAGACACAGCCTCGCAGTTGTTGATGTCAATGGGCCAGGACATGGTTCCCAAGGAGATGTTGCTCGGGGGCATCTCATCCTGTGTTCTCCTTCCATTGTGCTTGCTGCCATCCCTCTCGCCTTTGGCCTTCGCTTCAGTTCTGGGACTCCTGGGCGTCAGCATTCTCGCACTGATGATGCTCTTACGTTGGTTCGACGGGTCCTATGAGCTGGGAGGAAGCTTCTACAGTGATGCAAAAACAACCCTGGATCTTCTGACAAAGACCCAGGCGCCATCGCAGCCCAACGACAACCTCTTGTTCCAGCAAATCTGCATCTTCGCAGCCATTCTGTCGAATGCTTTCTCTGCACATTTCAATGCGCCTACCATCTTCAACGAGCTGGAGCCACAGCCAGATGCCAGAGGGCGGACAAGCCGGCTCCCACAACTCGCGACAGTCACCACCACAGCCTTTGCCTTATCAGGCCGTTGCCATGCACCGATTTGAACCGGGGGCCCTGCTACTGTGGAGTCTGTACTTTGTGCCTGGGAGAGTCTTGCCAGGCTTGATCTTCTGGGTCATCACCATGGCAGGCTTCGAGACGTTTGGTGCTCATGCAGGCTGGCCATAGCACTCGTGCTGGCTGCAAACAGTTTGCGCATGTCTACTTTGCCCAGGCGCCTCCATCCTTAACAGCTACTCCGCAGCTGACCCTTTGGTTGCCGTGGCAAGGGTAGGCCGGGGCTGAGCTCGGAAGTTTATCAGCGATTTGGCCGTGTGCGACACTGTTTAAACTTTAAACAGTTGTGTATTCAAGTGTATCACGTAGGAATGGTATCAGTTGGATGGGCCCATTTGGAGAGGCCTCGGCCTGTGCGTGCTCTTTGAGTTCCCGCTTCTCGAGCGCTGCTTTCGGAAAACGGCTGTGGAAGTCCTGGGCCTTCCAAAATGGGTCGAAGAGCACGCGCCCGGACGGCAGATGCGAAGAAAGTGAATACACCTGAGAAAAAGCCGCAAATAGTCTCAGAACAAACCATTGCTTTTGTTAAACGAAAGGGGCGCGGTCTTGGAGCTGAGGCGCTGGCTGCGGTGGCCTCGGTGGGGCTCTCCGTGGCGTTGGCCTCGTTTCCTGGCTTCGGTTTGGACAAGACCTCCGCTTTGGGGGGTGCACTCGGCGTGCCTCGGAACGCAGAAGGTGCAGATTCAGAAGCCTATCTACAGGCCTTGCGGCACGGGCCGGCCTGGCCGTCTGAAAGCTGAGACTCGGGTTTGGGTTTAGGGGTTTAGTGGGCGCAGGGAGTCGGGACGTAATCAAGAAGAAAGAGAAAAAGAAAAAAGAAGAAGAAGAGAAAGAAGAAGAGAAAGAAGAAGAAGAAGAAAAGAAGAAGAAGAAAATAAGAAGAAGAAAATAGAAGAAAAAGAAGAAGAAAAGAAAGAAGATGAAGAAGATGAAGAAGAACAACAAGAAGGAGAAGAGAAAGAAGAAGAAACAGAAGAAGAAGAAGAAGAAGAAGAAGAAGAAGAAGAAGAAGAAGAAGAAGAAGAAGAGAAAGAATCATAAACGAAGAAGAAGAAAAGAAAAGAAATAATAATAACAAGAAGAAAGGGTAAAGGAAGAAAAAGAAGAAGAAGAGAAGGAAAATAAGAAGAACGAAAGGATAAGAAACAGAAGAAGAAGAATAATAATAAGAAGAAAATACAGAATAATGAAAAGAATAAGTTTAATAAGAAGAAAAGAAAGAAGAAAAGGAATAATAATAAAAGAAAGAAGAAGAAGCAGAATAAGAAGCCCCGGGAGCCGCCTGATGCTCCTGATGCGCGCCTGGGGGTGCCGGGCTGGACCCGCTGATGCTCATGATGCGCGCCCTCTGGGGGCCTCCGTGGCGACGCAAAAAACCACGAAAAAAAAACCGTTCACCGGCGGCACGCGGGGGTCGGCGGCACTGGCGTCCGGCCTAATTCTGCTTCGCAGAAGGCCAGAGGCCAGCAAGGCTATTCCCGGGACGACCCGGGCTAAAAGGTCCGCATTTGCTCGGTCCTTTGGGGACCTCGCGCTGCCCGATTTAATGGCTGCCGCCAATGCCGCCGACCCCGAGCAGTTCTCCCAAATCCAGGCCGAGTCAAATCCGCGTGGCTTGCGAGGAACTAAAGGCGTGCAGATTGCAAGTCTTGCCAGTGCCATTGCAGACTGCCCTCGCGCCTGTCATAGCAGGGGAGCAGTGGGGGTTTGGGCTTGAAGGCGTAGGGGCGGGGAGGGGGGGGAGCGGGTAAGGGGAAACGGGGGGAGTAACAGGGTTTTGAGCATGCGTTGAAGGGGGGTGGGGCTTGAAGGCGGAGGGGTGGGAGGGCGTGGCGGGCGAGGGAGTGGGGGGTGTGGGGGGGGGGAGCAGCGGGGGTTTGGGCATTTTGACATGAAGGTGGAGGGAGTCGGGGTGGGGGGGGAACGGGAACGGGGGGGGGGGGGTCTAAGCAGCGGGGGGTTTGGACCCCATTTCTTTTGAAGAAGAAGGGCGGTGTAGGGGCGGGGTGGAGGGAAGATTTCTTTTGAAGGAGGGTGGGGGAGCGGGGGCGGGGTTTGGGCATGCGTTAGAGATTTCTGAAGAGGAGGGCGGGCGTAGGGGCGGGGTGGGGCTTGAAGGCGTAGGGGTGGGCTGTTGGAGCCCGTAAAAGATTTCTAGGAGGGCGGGGGCGGGGTGGGGCTAGGGGTGGGCGGGGGGAGGCGGTTTGGGCTTGAAGGCGTCGGGCGGGCAGGCGGGGGGAATGGAGGGGGGGAGCGGGTATAGGGGAGGGCGGGGGAGCAGCGCGGGTTTGGGAATGGCAGCGCGGGTGTGGGCATGCCTGGCACAGGAACCTTTCGGGATTTCACGCCGACAGCGGGGTCGGCGGATACGGGCCTGAGACAAGATCCGAGCACATTGCTGTGCTGTGCTGTGTTGTGCTCGGCTGGATTGTGCTGCACTTCACGCTTGCACGCCTTGCGTGTGCCGAACTCCAGAGTCGCCGAAGCCAAGTTTGGGATGGTTGGGGCTGCGTTGTCCAGGCGCTATCCAGGCACGATTGAGGAAAAAGTACAGAATCTCAGAAAAGTGCGTGCGAGCGTGCTAGTGTGCGCATTCGCGTACACACACAGACACAGACACAGACACAGACACACACAGACACAGACACAGACACAGACACAGACACAGACACAGACACAGACACAGACACAGACACTGACACTGACACTGACACTGACACTGACACTGACACTGACACTGACACAGACGCAGACGCAGACACAGACACAGACACAGAGACAGAGACACTGACACTGACACAGACGCAGACGCAGACACAGACGCAGACACAGAGACAGAGACACAGACACAGACACAGACACAGACACAGACACAGACACAGACACAGACACAGACACAGACACACACACACACACAAACACACACACACACACACACACACACACACACACACACACACACACACACACACACACACACACACACACACACACACACACACACACACACACACACACACACCCCCACACACCACACACACACACACCACACACACCCACCACACACACACACACCACACACACACACACACAACACCCACCACACCCACCACACACACCACACACACCACACACACCACACACACCACACACACCACACACACCACACACACCACACACACCACACACACCACACACACCACACACACCACACACACCACACACACCACACACACACACCACACACACCACACACACACACCACACACACCACACACACCACACACACCCACACACACCCACACACACCCACACACACCCACACACACCCACACACACCCACACACACCCACACACACCCACCCCACACACACACAGCACACAAACACACACACGACACACACACACAACACACACACACACACCACAAAAACACACACACAGCACACACACACACACCCACACCCACACACTCACACACACACACACCACACACCAACACACCACCAACACACACACACACACACACACACCAACCACAAACACACCCACACCACACCACACACCACACACCAACGCACCACACGAGACACAGAGACACAGATACACAGAACACCAGAGAACACCGAGACACAGAGACACAGAGACACAGAGACACAGATACACAGAGACACAGAGACACAGAGACACAGAGACACAGAGACACAGAGACACAGAGACACAGAGACACAGAGACACAGAGACACAGAGACACAGAGACACAGAGACACAGAGACACAGAGACACAGAGACACATAGACACAGAGACACAGAGACACAGAGACACAGAGACACAGAGACACAGAGACACAGAGACACAGAGACACAGAGACACAGAGACACAGAGACACAGAGACACAGAGACACAGAGACACAGAGACACAGAGACACAGAGACACAGAGACACAGAGACACAGAGACACAGAGACACAGAGACACAGAGACACAGAGACACAGAGACACAGAGACACAGAGACACAGAGACACAGAGAAACAGAGACACAGAGACACAGAGACACAGAGACACAGAGACACAGAGACACAGAGACACAGAGACACAGAGACACAGAGACACAGAGACACAGAGACACAGAGACACAGAGACACAGAGACACAGAGACACAGAGACACAGAGACACAGAGACACAGAGACACAGAGACACAGAGACACACACACAGACACACACACAGACACACACACAGACACACACACACAGACACACAGAGACACACAGAGAGACACACACACACACACACACTGCATCTTCTCTCTCCGTCGGTGTACCTGTGTGTGATTGTCCGGCAGATCCGCAACTCTGGGGCTCCATAGATGGTGTTGAGCTCGGGGGTCGATCGTCAATTCAGCGGCCGGGATCGGGCAAAAGCACAGGCCGCCTGGGGGAGTCGGGCGGGCCGGGGGGGGCCCTTGAATTTTAGGTGTTCGAAGATGACCAAATTCAAATCGACAGCTTGTTGCCACAGCTGAGGCATCGCTGTTAATCTACATTGCACCGGCATTGATGGCCCTGAGCCTGAACCTACGGCCAGGGAAAGCAAACGGAGGACGCACAGTTCTGTGACATGTGCATGCAGCTCTAACTCTGGGGTGCTGGGATCGTGGTAGGGCATGCCATGTCCGAAGTCTGTTAACGACGCTTGCAAGGCAGATGAGCTCAAAAATAACTGTACAGCATTCGGCAGTGAGGAGGTCAGGAAGCTGCAAGCGATGGGTCGAAGGCACCAGGCCAGCCCTGTCTAGGGTCCCAGCTTGACGCATTCACAATCCTCAACCTCGGCTTTGCTTCGCCCTTGGCCTGGCCTCTTGTGCAGGCCAGGACATGCTACTTCGCGGGGTTGCAGGCAGGCTGCTATGGCATATGGTGTAATGTGAGGGCACACGCACGTTAAATCGTAGTCATGCAGGCTTGGGCTCTCTTCTTGGAGGCTTTGGCGTGGCAGAGTCCATGCAAGTGTAGGCCGTGGTGTTGTAGATGCCTGCAACTCAGGGATGGGTGGTCATGTTCCCACGCAACCCAGACCTTTTTGTCGTGGAGGCTTAACTTCAGTCAGTCACGCAAGGGGCAAGAAATTATGTAAAGAGGCTGCAATTTATTTGTCAGCCGCATTGCTGAATTCGAGAATTTTCTTTGGGGCCTTGTCAGCCCTATTTTCCACTTCAAGTCTTCATCCCAGTGATCCCTTGAGATCCCTTGGGCAGTCTGAGAGCTGTGATGCACTCAGGCTGGCCAAGGTACATCTGTTGAACACCCAGGTGCATCTGTTGAAAGCCCAGTTGCATCTGCTGAAGGCTCCGTGCCTGCAAGGAATCATCCGCAAAGAACTTCGTGAGACAGCACAGGGGGGGGGGGGGGAAATTGGAATCCACCGACACAGAGCCTGATGGACGTCAAGTGTGATGCAGTGTACGCATGCACTGATGTTGAGTCCAGATGTACACGCTGGAAGAGGACTGGAGATAGAGGAGGGAAGGCGGCGCATATCTTCCGCTTGCGTTAAAAGAGCTTTCTCCTGGGCAATGACAGCTCAATCGCAGATCTTTTGCTTGACATGAAAGAGGTGTTTTGACATGCAGAAAGTGCAGGAACAGGGCTTCTGCTGAATTGCCCAGACTCTTGCATTCCCTGCTCCTTTGACTTCATGCAGGTGTGGGATAGAGTTGTATTTTGAATGCATCTCGGGA